GTATGTATACTAGACCCTTTCAAAAATTCAGTTAAAGACAGGTTGGAAGAGGAGGAAATCTGGGCTGCTTTTGCAGGGAGAAGGTTCCACACTCATCTGGCTTGGCTACCTAGAGGTCCAGAATTTACAGGTAAAAGCCCTTTCTATCTGCTTATTTATTTTGTGACGCTGGGGATTGAAGCCAAGTCCTAGCACATGCTGGGTATGCATGTTATCACTGAGCTATGTCCCCAGGCCTTTACTTTTTACTTGAGACAAGGGTCTAAGTTGCCCAGGCTGGCCTTTAACTCATTCTATAGCCCATCCAGGCTTATAAACTCTTGTTCCTCCAGCTCCCATCTCCAGAGTGTGGATAATAACTCTTAGGGAAAGCCAGAGCCTCTCCTTGGTGCCAGTGTACGACACTGCTGCACATGTCTACTTAGAGGTCTCTGAACATTCGGAACCAAATTGATACGACAAAGGTTTTCGCATCTTCCGGGTCAAACATGAAGACACCAGGTAGCCAAGTCAAAACGGCGGGAATCGGGGCGCTTCCACCTACCCCGGCCTCCACATCTAAGGCAAAGAACTCGCGCAGCCCTGCCCCACCCCCCGCAGCAGCAGGTAGATCCCCTCCTCCAACTCGCCGGTCACCGGTGCCGCACCTTCTCCCTAGGAAGTTGTTTGTGATGCAAATTGCACAGTTTCATTCGGGACCTGAAACCTCCGAGCACGTAGGAAAAAATCCAAACCGTAAACAGCCCACGGCTTCATTCCCGGCACTCTCGTGGTCCCCACGCCCCAGAGCGGCCAGAGCCGGCGGGCGCTCGGATACGCGCAGGCTCAGAGACCGGGGTGACGCGCCCAGCTGGGTCGTCCCTTCAACCTCCAGAACCTGCCAATCTGAGGAATGGGCGGGATCGTCTGAGAGCGAGGACCAATCCTAATGTGGAGACGGGGGGCGGACTCCAGGCTCCGCCCAGAGCCCAGTTTTCCGGCTTGCAGCCCAAGGTGCTGGACATCTGGGTCCCTTTCTACAAGCGGGCGCCATGGACTTGGCTCAGGCCACGCAGGAGAGCGAGGCAGTGGCGGAGAAGGTGCTCCAATACCGGCGGGACACGTCGGGTTGGAAGACGTGCCGGGAAGCCGTGAGTGAGGCGGGAAGGGGTCTGGAGACGGCACCCAGGGGCTGGGTCTCTTAAGCCCCAGACTTCTCCTCTCCTTGAAATTTTATGCACCCCAGACTCCAGAGGTGGATTGAGAGCTATTCCACTGAGGGTAGCTGCTTTAATAAGCACTGGGCCTGTTGCGCTCACCTGGACTGCAGAAGGTCCCTACCCCTTTCTTTGGGAAGCGTGCCCAAGGTCACCTGGCTGGTATGTGGTTAGGACTGGCCCTGAAACTCCAGGCGCCAAATCTTTCTTCTGTCCAGCATAGCACAAGCCTTTCTCTGTGTCTTCTCAGAGAATATCTGGGAAATACTGTTCCTTCCTTGACACTTCTGATTTTTAACAAATCGCTCTAAATTACTAAGGGAAACAAAATGCGTGGTGGCGTTTAAAGCAATTGGAAAGCCTCCCACAGCTCTTGGGGAGTCGGCCCATCAGAAGCTCTTTCCCCATTACTTGCTGTGGGAGCAGCTCTGCCAGGAAAGGGTTAGGCCACCCTGAAGAATCATTTCTAGAGGTCTCTATTCCCAGACCCTTTCTAGCTCTAAAATTCTATGATTCTGTGCCTTTTGACAGAATGGAGTTTCAGTTTCCTGGAGGCCATCTGTGGAGTTTCCAGGGAATCTGTAAGTGTAAACCTCTATTGAAGCTTGACAGGGACCCAGATCCCTTCCTGGTGGCTCTGGGTTTGCCTCCTGAAAGATTCTAATCCACAGGACTCTGTGATCAGTCATCTTCCAGAGATGGATGCTGTTTTGAATCATTTCTAGCAAGTCATATTCTTTGAAGGCTTAGCACCTGTTTCTGCAGGCTGGAGGGGAGGTGGGCTAGCACATAGTGCCTTTTCTGCCAGGCCAGCCTTATATCTGACAGGCATGTGATGCTTATAAGATAGAATCCCAAGATAAGTTTGATTGATGTCTTGGGTCAAATTCCTTTCTGTGCTCCAGGTATCGAGGAGAAGGGATTCTGTGTGGGACACTGGAAGAGGTGTGGGACTGTGTGAAGCCAGTTGCTGGGGGCCTGCGAGAGAAGTGGGATGAGAATGTGACCAGTTTTGAAGTTGTCCAAAGCCTCACAGATGTAAGTTTCCCTGAGCACGTTATCTATGGATGGTGTCTTGTCCTGCTACAACACCCTGGCCCTATCCCCTCTGGAGGGATATCTTTGACACTTCTGGGCAAGAGGAGTGCCCTGCACATCATCTCAGCCTTGGCTCAGGTAGGAAACTGTGTTGACTGTGAGAGGCCAAGATACCCTCAGTAGAGCCTAGGAACTGTGAATGAAGGTACACAAAACAAACCTGGGTTTCCCAGACATCGAGGCAGGCCTGGGTTTGGTCTGTCAGCTTTAGTTTGGAGCATGTCCCTCGATGGAGCCATTCTGCCTCTTTTCTAGCTGTGGGACCAGGGCAGGAGAACACTTATGGATTGCAGTGTCTCCTTTAGGAAAGTGTGGACTGGAAAGACCAGCCCCACCCAGCAGAGCACCTTGCAATGGTGGCTTTGTTCTGTAACTGCCTTGTTCAGTATGGGACCCTCAAGCTCCATGGGGCCACAGAGCATGGGAAGGTGACTGGTTTGAGGAAATGAATTATCCTAATGAATCTAAAGGTAAGATTAAATAGTCACATGAGCTATGGACTGCTATAGTAGACAGCTCAGATATTGATGAGCCTGTCCTGAGGTCCTTTCCAACTTTAAGATCTTGCTTCATTTTGATTATAAAAGTTCAGAAAGAAAAAAGAAGTGATAAAACAAATAAGCAAGCAGCCCTGGAGAAGCCTGCCGACCTGTCTGATTTAAATGGCACTTTGTTTGGGCATCTAGGACCTGTGTGGCTCCCATCTGGTGCATACATAAGCAGGTGGCATTGTGAAAACTCAAGCAATGTTTCAGAACTGGTCAGTCTGGGAGCCAGGTGTCTTGTCCTGACCCGTAATCCACATTTCAGTTCAGTCTGCTGTCCACAGGAGTTATGTCAGGGTTGTCTGAAGGACAGGGCACAAACCTCTGGGAAGAAAGGTGATTTTATATCATTAACTGTCAAAGATGGAATTGAAACACATAACGAGGATGATGCACTGTTTCAATTCTTTCATCCTTCCCTGTTTCTGTTCTTTCATCCCACCAATACCCGGAAGGGGAGCAGGAATCTGAGCATCTTGGGTACTGGGAAGCCTTTGACAATATTTAACTTGTTGGCCTCCCTTACTACAAAGCTGTTGGGGGGGGGGGCTCTGCTGGGAATTTGAAACTAGCAATCTCACATGTATGTATTTTGCAGTTGCCTTTAATTTATGGCAAGTGGTTCTTTTTACATTTCCAGTAGTTAGATAGCTTCCTTTATAAAACCAGCTGATCAAAATTTTACAAAGTAGCGACATTTGAAAAGCCATAATACATGGATATTATCCTCTTATTGTGGGACATAGGTGACACCAGAGCTAGCAAAAAGACAGAATGAAGATTGTATACAAATTATTATGCACAACTGTGTGAAGTTGAGCAACCCTGGATTAATGCCCTTTAAAATATAATACAAATCTAGGAACAGAAGGACCTTGTATTGTGTAAATGTGTATGTGTTTGCATGTTCATATGTATGTGTGCTTGTGGAGAACCCAGAGGTGTTTTCCTTGATCACTCTTCATATATCTTGAGAGAGTCTCTTTCTACCTAGAGCTCATGGTTGTAGCCAGCTTGCGACAGGGATTCCCTACATCTGCCTCCCTTGCTGGGAGTATGGGTGGCTGGCTGCTGCTCCCACCTGGCTTTTCTATGGGCTCTAGGGATCAAAGCTCCAGTTCCCACACTTGGCACTTTGCCAGCTAAGCCACCTCCCTAGGCCCATATATACTGTTTTGGAAGCAAAGGTGGCCTCATCTCTTTAGCTCATTTGCACTTCTTTGTCTTGACACAGTGGCTGGTGAGAACAACAGAATGAAAGGCAAGCTAAATCATAGGCTGATACCTGAGTAGGAAGTAGTGTTGATTAAATAGTAAATGCTGTTAAGTCACTTATTAGATGTGTTTGTTCTGGGCTACAGGCACTCTAACTGGAGCCCTGGGGGAAGGAAACAGTCTTGCAGAGGTAGAGAGAAGTTGATAAGTCCACACAGGTAAAAAAAACAAGTGGAGCTGGTTTCCCCCCACCACATTGCCACCTCCCAGAGGGGACCAAGTCTTTCTAACTGTCCTACCTTCACATCAGCTCTAGCTCTGGGTCCCTGTGACCAGATCTCTCAGGGGCCCCTCAGGGAGAAATGTGTTTCCCTCACTGCTTCTTTGTATACCAGGCACACCCTGTGCTGAATTCTGCTTTGGTAAAAGTTGCTCTTGCCTCCTTGGTCAGCTCATCAGTATGGATGAGTAGGTGGTGCTGGCAGGGCCTTGTGGCTCCTCTAGTTAGCCTGATTTGTCCCTAGTTATGCCTATTTCCCTGTGTGGGACTCCTATTCCAGGCAACACAGAGCCCCATCCCTGGTAACCATTTTCCTGAAGGCTGGCTGGACCAGTGTGGGCTCAGTGACCCCATATCCCCTGCCTGACCCTAGTTAGTCCTCTCATGCAAAAATCTTCACACTTTTTGCATTTGTGCATTTAACAGGTTTTTGAGAAATTTTGCACTATCTCCAAACATTTCATTGATAATCTGACCTTCAGTTCATGCCTCATTTTGCATAAATCACAAAGCATAGATTTTTGACATGTAATTTTGTCAGTTATGAACAGAGCAATTATGTTATTCTTTTAGTTGTGTTTAAGTAACATGGGTTTGTATTTGCTATTTCCCATTTTAAAAAAATGTCACATACCTGTAATCCTAGCTGCCAAGAAGTAGAGACATGAGCATTAGGAGGTTCGGGCTAGCCTAGACTACACAGCTCCAGGCCAGTCAGGGATACAAAACAAGCCAACAACAACAAAAAGGAAATTCCTCTTGGTCAGAAATTATATGTAATTATTTTCCTTGAACTCTGTTTTATACAGTCCATTGATTTTTTTTTTTTTTTTTAAGAGAGAGAGTCTGACTATGTAACCCTAGCTGGCCTAGAACTTGCTTTGTAGACCAGGCTAGCCTCAAACTCAGAGATTCACTTTCCGCTGCCTCCAAAAAGTTGAGATGACAGGTGTATGCCACTATACCCAGCAGTCCATTAAATTTTATCCTAACACAATGTAATGTTATTTTCTTGGAAGTCATGATAAATTGAAAAAAAACAACAACAACAAAAAAAAACTTTAAATCATGTTTTGTTTTGTTGTTGGTTTTTACCACAAGATTTTTTTTTAAGGACTGAGGTATGAGAGTAATTTATTAAGGTAACTCTAAAACTTGGGTGAAGAATTATTAAATGCAAAGAGAAAAATGTTTTTCATCTCTGCATGAGATACATGGGAACTCTGTTCTCACCAGTTCATGTGTCTGTGAAGAGTTATGGCTTGGTGCCTTCAGCAGACATTAGGCACGGAAGGAGGGAAAGCTCGGGCTGCTGGGAAATTTGAGGGATCCCAAAAAGCAGAAAAACAGATGACAAGTGAGGTCTGGTTTTCATTTGGTGAAGCAGTATAGGTGGGGGTCAAAAACCCTTCCTTACACGTGGCATTTGTCAGTATGATTCAGACAAATCTCAAAATAGACAGATGATGGGCGAAGGATGTGCAGGTGAGAGATGAGCCAAGCATGAACTTTTGCATCTGTAGCAAGCTTCTCTGCCTTCAATATTTCTTACTAATGGAGTGACTCTTCCTGCAGGCTCCAAATAGAGTCAGGGGTGGAGGAGGCAGAAAATATTGTCACTGCCACCATTCCTATACAACATGTGAGGATTCCGAAATGGCCTTGTTACTTGGAGTATGGTTAAGAAAGGGGGAACTGTGATGTTCTGAGCCCAGTGCCAGGCACCATGGTTGAACACTGAACTGTGAACATCTGTAGATCTTTGGCACTCTGAAGGATCTTATATTCAACTAGGATGATGGTAGACAGGTGGAGGAGAAGACCCTGCTTGCAGATGCTCTCTGTTCTCTGGTGGGTTATTTTAAAAAGGATGCGAAGATGAAATCATTTAGAGAACAAGGCTCAGGGCACCCACTGGAAAGAGCCCAAGTGCTCCAGGCTTTCTTTGGGCCCTCCTGCTCACAGTGCATCTTGCTGTCTATTGCCTTCCCATTTCCCAGGCCCTGGGTGTGAGGCTGACAGGGAGTTGATATCGCTAGCTGACCTGAGGCCCCTTTGATTTGGCAGACTCTGTTTGTGAGCAGAACTTCTACACCATCAGCTGCCATGAAGCTCATTTCTCCCAGGGACTTTGTGGACTTGGTGCTAGTGAAGAAATATGAGGATGGCACCATCAGTTCCAATGGTGAGTGGCGGCAGGGGCTCACTGGCTGTCCCAGATGTTGGGCTGTGTCTTCTGTACCCCTCGATCCTCAAGGAAAGCACCGGAAAGTTCACATGCTCTATTGAGAGGATTCTGTGCCATGGGACCCAAGGTGAGGAGGCCACATGCCCAGGACTTTACTAAGCCCCAGATTTTATCAGCACAGTTTTTATTCTTGCTGAGACTGAGTTCATGCCATGGGCATGAAGGTTGTAGTTAATCTCCTTTTATGGTGATGTGCTGACTCTGTGGGAGCATTTTAACAGTGTGGTTGCTGACCATCCCTTTGCCCCATGAGGTTCAGAGCACCATGGTTCCTCTGTGTCTGCCTGAGGAAGAGATGAGGGACACATCCTTACTCTGTGGACTGAGATTTGAAAGGGGCATCTTCCTTCCTCCTCATACTGGAGACATCTTCTAGAATATATTCTGGAATAGCCAAATCCCTTGCTAATATTTTGGGCTCTAGTCCTTGGGTCTGTGCATGTGATAGCTCTTCTTCTTCCTTCTTCCTTCCCCCTTCCTCCCTTCTCCCCTTCCCTGCTACCCCCCTTCTCCCCTCCCCCCTCCCTCCCCCCTCTTTCTTCACTGGTGGTAGCCCTGCTGTCTGAAAGTAAGTTCACTGATCTCCTGATTATCTTCCAGCTACCCACATGGAGCATCCGTCATGTCCCCCGAAGCCAGGTTTTGTGAGAGGATTTAACCACCCATGTGGGTGCTTCTGTGAACCACTTCCAGGGTAAGGAAAGTGAGTGGAGGACCATGTCTCAGACCTAACCAACGCTGCTCCTGAGAACTCAGAAAACAGATGCTTTGACTGTGATCTGCAAAAAGAGAATATTAAATATTGATAATACAAAACGCTGTCACATACATGCACTCAGCCACTGTACGTGGTACTTGGGAAAGCTGTGAGGAGGTATTACCCTAATTAATTTTTTTTAATGTGTATGAGTGTTTTGCCTGTATGTATGTAAGTGCACCCATGCATGCAATGCTCATGGAGGTCAGAAGATTGGGTGTCAGATCCCCTGTAACTAAGTTACAGATGGTTGTTGGCAACCATGTGAGTGCTGGGAGCCAAACCAGGTCCTCTGCAAGAGTAGCCAATGCTCTTAACCACTAAGCCATCTCTCCAGCCCTGGATTAAATTTGATGTAAGAATTCCTCCCTCCAGCCACATAAGGCAGGCCAGGCAAGTGTCCTAGTCCCATTTAGCAGGTGGGGGAGCTGAAGCTTAGGATGGTTAAGAGATGTGTCCACAGTCAGAGGCTAAGAAGCCACTAAGGCAGAGCCTCAGCTCCAAATCTTCTGTACTCGCTGGGTATACTCACCAGTCTGCAGTGGCTTCAGGGGCAACTGTCCCCATCCTGTGTTATGAACAGTGATCATCCCTCCTTCACAAGGAATGGGACAGGGCTCAGGGGCTCAGGGACAATTCAGGGACCATGTTGTGAGTTAAACTGGGAACTAAGCTTGGGAACTCTTATCCTGAATACTCACAGGCATAGCCAGGATCTTGCCAGGAGCTCTCTGGGTAATGAATTACCTGAAGGTCACTAGTTTATTGTGGGCACCATCCAATTTAACAAGAAGAGAAATTGCACCTGCTGGTGTGTCCTTGTGTTTCCTGCAGACAGCTGGAGGGAAGGTCTGGGCTTCCCCACGCAGTTCCAGGAAGTAGGCTTTGGTGCCTAAGATATTACTGAAACCCAGACACAGCACCCTCGCAGAACACTGTGTCTGCAAAGCTAGCTTTGCAAGCATCTTTTGGAAAACTTTTCCTAAATGTCACAAAGTTTTGGGTTTAACAGTCACAAAACTGTGCTTCAGCACACATATGCACTTGCCTCTGTACACCCAGTTTTAGTGCCTCGGTACAGAAAAGCCCAGACCCTGTGGATTATGCCTCTTTTCCTTCCCCTTTCTCTGAGTAGTCAGATGCTGAGACCTGCCCTTCCATGTTGCCAGGCATGTTGGAAAGAATGTCCAAAGTAAGAGCAGAAGCCCTTTCTCCTGGAGACTGAATCCCAGGCTGTCTTCCTTAGGGAGCACACAGTATGCAAGCTTCAAGCCAGGTAGCACTGGTGATAACCTAGGTTTTGCAGGAGTTGGTGGACCAGAGATTAAGTGACTTACCCAAAATCACAGAGCCAGCAAGTGATAAAGCTACAGTTTAAAGCCAGCCATCTGACTTCAGTGACTGTTATTTCTTTTATAAACAGATCAAAGCATCTGTTCTCAGAGAGCTTAATCCCAGAAGGCAGGAGAAGATGAACAAGACAGAAATGCACACGCTGACACCCTAGGGATGTGAAGTGCTATGTAGAAAACTAAAGCCAGATGAATGAGCCGAGGAGACGAGGAGGGGAGGGAATGGGTTACCCAGGAGGTCAGCAAAGTTCTTGATAGTGCCCACATACCACAGAGGCCTGTGCAGGGTTCCTCCAGGTGGAAGCAGTTGTGAGCACAAAAGAAACAACATGGAAGGAGGCCACTGTGCTGGATCAGTGAGCCAGGGGAGAGCCCAGAAGAAGCAGCCATTGAGGAAGCAGGATAGACTGTGCTGGGCACAGTACTCTGAATAACTGGAAGCCTCTAGTAAAGATCTGCTCAGGCTGTGCCCATTTCAGTTTAAACCTCTGGGATGTGTCAGAGTAGATGGAGCTGTGAATCAGAGCAAGGGGCTGCATTAGGGAGCAAGGCTATATCCTAGCAGAGATGGAGGTGGCTGGGCTCAGAATATCTATGGTAGAGAAGAGGAGAGTTGTCTCAGAGGACAGGGAGTCTTTGGAGGAGGCGGCGGCAAAGCTGTCACTGTGATACATCTTCTGTGTGTGCAGGGAGCATGCTCTGTATTCCACATGTCTTCCGATGAGAGTCCTACATCAAATGTTCCCAGCCTTCTCTGTGGAGACAGTCACAGTGCCTCTGAGTCCCTTTAGGCCACCCTAGGACTTATCAGGCATGTCTCTCCCCATGTGACTTGCCTTTCCTGCCTTTCTCTCTCACCAAGCCCAGGGCTCCCCAGAGGGAAACGTGGTCCCAACTGGGATTTCTCACTTACTGGATCATGTTTCTAAACCAAAGAGGATGTGGCTGAGAGATGATGAGGGCTGGCCTTAGCCCAGGGGAGGAGGCACAGAGAGAGGGCCCCAGCAAAGGGTAGGGGATAGTAAGGGAAGGGAAAGATGGAATGGAGCCCTGCACCCAGAGCTCACTCTTTTTGGCAAAGAAGGACACAGGTAGAGAACAGCCATGGCCTGGAGAAGCCATGCTCTCCCACACTGCTCATCTGATCACTCTGTCCCTCCCCAGGGCTCAGTTGCCATCTGTACAGCCAGGGCAGGAGATTATAGAAGGTTTCCAATAGCAACCTACATATCAAGAAGCCTCTGAGCAGGTGTTATGCTACGAGGAGTTTCTGACAAAACCAAGGTGCCCAACAGCATCTTTTAAAAAAAATACCATGTGGTTTCTCCAAACCCGTTTTGTGGTCCTGGCCACTGTGGAGTTTGTGACAGTGAGGACCCATCCAGGCCCTGTTTAGTTGTACCCCACCTATCTTGTGTGGAATCTAATTTTAACTGCTGGCTTCACAACACCCCCCCCCCCATTACTGCTATGCCAGTAAGTGGGACTCTGTATCTGGGTTTCTGCCACCCTGGCCAAAGTCTTCACACTGCAGAAATTATTCATCAGTTCTCTAAAGCAGCAGAGCCCAAAGTTTGGTCTAAACCTCCTTTTATTTTTTTTCTTCTTTTTTTTTGTTTCTTTTTGTATTTTTTTTTCCTTAAGTATGTCTGAGGACCTAACAAGACTTCTGCCCACATCAGTTATAGCTACTATTATGCAATATATTTGAAATTAAGACTGGACAATTTAAGAAATTCTACTTATAAAATAGTAATAAATGCAAAACACGTTAAGTAACCCATTTCGTGAAAAATAATCAGCATTTTAAAACAAAAATGCTGAGAATAGCACTATTTTCTTTTTAAAATATTATTTTTATTTTATGTGTATGCATGTATTGCCTGCATGTAGGTAAGTGCACCCATGTCCTGCAATGCCCTCGGAGGACAGAGAGGCTGTTGGATCCCCTGAACTAGAGTTACAGACAGTTGTTAGCTGCCATGTGGGTGCTGGGATTCAAACCCGGGTCTTCTGCAAGAACAGCCAGTGTTCTTAACCACTGAGCCATCTCCCCAACCCCAGAGCAGCACTATTTTCTATTTTTACAAATCTCTTTCATGTCAAACATAATAGGTGCTCACGTCTGTAGGGGTCACATATCACATAGCTGCTGAAAACTATACCAGATGCTTATGAGAAAGTGTTGGTGTGGAAAGAGTCTTGACCTTGCTGACCCCTGACCCAGGATGTCCAGAAGTTCCCAGTCATTTGAAAGTACCACTGGCAATTGTCACAGGGAGCACCTACTTCTCTCCTGCTCAGGGCATGGCACCAACCCTCCAACATGTTTTCAGGGGCTATGGAATGTCTCCCTAGAGGACACTACTATCCAGAACAAGTGGGTCTGGAGGAGCCCCAGGTGTTGAGGCCAGGGTGGAAGTGGATATGATCACTGTGGTCTGATGACTTCTGCCAAGTCCGGCTCTTTGCTCATCTGACCTTGTCCTGTGCTAAATGACTCCACGGTGCCCACCTGACATACTTCTGCTGTTTCTTTCTCAGGGAACCCAACAAGACCAACCTGGTCACGTTCTTCCAGACAGACCTGAGCGGCTACCTTCCTCAGAGTGTGGTGGACTCCTTCTTCCCACGCAGCATGGCTGGATTCTATGCCAACCTTCAAAAGGCAGTGAGAAAATACCACCACTGACTGTCACCTTTTGGCAAGGAATGTCCATGACCCTTCAGGAGCTCCAGCTGTTGAGCCTGGGCGAATAGCTGTTGTGGCCTTTTGAGATATCCTAGTGGACAGCAAGTCTTGGGGGTGCCATCTGAGGGCAATACTCCCCCCCCATTCCTCCCAGGATTGGCATTGAAGGAGCCGACCATCTGCTTTCGATGCATATATATCACTGGCAGGGCAAATCCAGTTGTGGCCACCTGACAAGGATTTGACTCAAGCACCATTCAGTCCCTTGTAGCCTAGAAGCATGTGTGCTGGTTTCTATCAGACAGCTTTTTTTCTGTTGGTCGTAGAGAATCAGCATCTATCCTGGGTACCAAGTCCTGCTGCCTCTGACCTCTGGAGTTCCCAGTCTTCTGCCACAGCCTCCCGTGTGCATTTTCTGATACAGTCTTGCATACATATTTTTATACTGCACAGGATTTTTCCCCTTACAAAGATCTCAGCTTAGAAAATGATGGTTTAAACCATGGGATAAGCCTTAAGGAAAAACATCTCAGTCGTCTTTTTGTTGTATCTTCCAGAATCATTCTTTTCCTGTCTTCCCCCCCCCCCCCCCTTTTTTTTTGGCCTTTTTGAGACAGTATCTCCCTGTAGTTCCACCTGGCCTGGAACTCACTATGTAGATCAGGCTGGATCTGAACCATATTAGTTACCTTTCATATCCCTGTGAAACCACCCCAGGTAGAATTGCAACCTTGGGAGGCACTGGGAGTTCTTGTGGCCTTTGTGAGTGATTCTAAATGGAGGCAGCTGCTCCTGTGTGCATGCAGGACTCTGAGGAGAAGAGCTGCAGTTCCTCTGGACATACACCTTGCTTTGTCCTCAGTAATGGGACAAGACAATAGTGCTTTGGTTTCCAGGCTCCATCAGGCCATGCTGCCATCAGGAAGGAGGGAAGAATAAGCTTCCCTGTGGCCCTGGTTACAGCCTACCCCCTCCCAAACCCCAGCTCCACTGTAGGACTGTACAATACCATAGTGATCATGCCTATCCTGTCCATAGCTTTATCTCCCGGAAGAAGCTCAATGGGAAGCACATAATTTCCTTTCTTCCTTTTAGGGCTACACAGGCAGGAGGGCCCTTTAGCACTCCCTGGCAACCTTTATAGTGTCCTCTGCCTCTGCTCCAAATGGAAAACACTTCCCTGCTGTCACAGTAACATGCTTCCGCACTTGGGTGCCTGGGGTGACTCTCCTGAGTGTTCTGGGATTGAGCAAGCTTATGACACAGAAACTCAGTGTTGAGGCAGTAAAAATGCCTCCCCCACCACCACAACCCTGTGTTGTCATGAGATGCAGATCCTATAATGCCTTGAGATAGCTCCCTTGTCTCAATGAGACATCTTCATCTGACTCTTGCTAGTTCATTCATTTCAGAGTGCTTACCAGGTCCCTACTCCCAAGTGTGATTCTGAATCAACTCCTGGTGAGAACTGATCATCCTAAGTCCAGCCCATCCTGGGTGAACCAGCCAGGGAGAACATGCCTCGTGCTCTTAGGTGCAGCCTAGAAGGGTGTGCTCTAGCCAAGGTGGGCTAGTTGGCTGGAAGGTCAGCTTGAGAAGCCCCCATTGGCAGTGGCCTGGGAGTACATGATCCTTGGAATTTTGCCTGTTGTTTTTACCAGGCCTCCCCCTTAGCACCCTTATTTCATGGGAGCAAGGGCCTTTGAGGAGCTGAACCCAGAACTGGTCAAACCATACTGGCTGTGGATAACTGAATATCACAGTGACTTGCCCTGAGCATGGCGATCAGATGTTCAGAAATAACCAAAGCAAATATCCTATTTGCACACCTGCACTGGGAGGTTTTGTGGGGGGGGGGGGTTGGTTTTGCCAAAATGGCAATGTCATTTAACATCAAGCACAGGGCCTGACATGACAGAACAGTGGTGGCAGTTTTATGTTCACATCCATGCCGGTCCATATCGTGGACACACCTGTGCTCCTCTGGCATCTGGGACTACCTACCCTTGTTTAAAATCATCAACACAACCAAAAGCAGTTTTGCAACTGTTCTATGTAATGGGCTATATTTTCCAAAAATGCCCCAACAGTATTTCTCCTCCCTCCAAACCCAAGAGTATAGTGGGAACGATGCTATGAGACTTCGAGGTGGAACATCAAGAAGAAGCTGCCCCTGCCTGGGTCTCGCACGTCTGGGTTGCACACCAAGGAGTCAGGCACCATAAAGCTCAGGCCACAAAGAGACATCCCCAGCCATCAGCCAACACCAGCACCTAGAGACACAAACAATGGCCCTTCGTGGGCCCCAGCCCAGCCTTGAGCTATTCCGGATGATGACAATTGGGACAGAGAGGCACTGGCCTCCAAGTTCTGCCCACCCCACAGAGGCATAAGAAAAATTTGCTGCTATGGAGTGGATCTCACAGTACTTGGGAGACTGAATCAGGGTGTGGGTGTCATAGCAAACTTCAATACATCTGTTTTATTATGGCACCAGAACATTATCACTAAGTTATATACAGCCTACAGTTTGTATCCACCACCCGGGTGTGACTCTGTCCTGACATTTAGGACAGCCCTCTTGGTAGGCGGTGTCTGAAAGATCCAGCCCTGAGCAGCAGCTACCTGAAGCACACCTGAGCTTTCCCCAGCCTGGGTGAGGTGGGCAGCAGAGACCCTGAGAATCAGCAGTTATGGGAACTTCGCGCTCTTTCTTGTCTTAGCATGGGAATGCTGCCTAGGAGTCTCCAGCAGCTGTTGTCCCCTTGTACTGGAGGCCTTTCCTTCTGATGATAACAGTGACAGGTCCATCAGGTAATGCCTTGATTACATTCCAAGCTTCAAACCGTGTGAGGCCCTGGGCAGCAGTGCCGGCCAGCTGCAAGATTTCATCTCCCGGCTGGACTGTCTCACTCTGTTCTGTCCCTGAAAAGGAGAAGGTGACAGATGATTGTGGCTTCACGGGGCAAGAACTCTGAAAGCCGCCTTCTCCCTTTGCTCTCCAAGGAGCCAGACAGCTCAGCAGATAATAGCAAGCACTTCCATCATTCAGGAGCTTGTCAGTGCTTTTAAACTGAGGCATCTCAGCATGTGTGCTCAGCTCAGACACTCTCTGTGGGCCTTAGAAAGCTGTAGTGAGCAGCATGCCAGGGCCTGGCTAGAGACCTCCACAATTTCTAGAGGATTCTGAGGGACTGAGCCCTCCTCAAGCCTCCCTTTTCCACTTCATATTGAGTCTTCTGATGACATCATCAGCCATGGGTGGGATAGGCTGCGATGATGAGCTAGTGAGATGTTCATGAAGCAACCTTCACAGGGTTTTTGGCTTGAACAGCCTGATGAAACATTCTGTGGCTACTTAAAAGGACATAATCCTACATGGCACCCACTCCATCAAAGATGTATGCAGAAATCATACTATTTCTATGGTTTATATTGAAGGAACTCTCCCATCCATTTGACACCAAGGTCTTCACCAATAATAAATAAGCATATGAAATAATAATGAAAAGATAGCAAGTATTGCAATGGACATTGCTGGTGTTCTGCACTTGTGACAGCATCCCTAGGGGGTAGACACCATTAGTGTTTCCCTTTTACAGGTGTAGAAAACAAAGATGGAATAACTCGCTCAAAGCTTGAAAGTTGCTCAGTGGTAGGGTCTGCATTTGAACTCAGACTTTCTGGCTCTGGCATCCACATCCTATGGTGGGAGGTTCAGCCCAATGTGTGCAGATGGGCATAAGATGGTGAAGTGACTTGCCCAAGGTCATGCCACTGTGTGTGGCAGAACTAACATTAAAACTCAAGTCTCTCGGCTTCAAACCCCATGTTCATTCTAAATCAGCTTTGAAAAGGTTAGAACTGTAGTTTACAAGGATGCTTGGAAAGACCATTATGTATGCCTCGGTCTACCCACAGAAGAACTTCCTATAATAAAACCAGCTAGTCATGAAGGCTATAGGGACAGAACACAGGGCTGGGAGTCTTTGGATCCCAATTCTAAGAGCCTCCAGATACACATCCATACTCCTTTAGTGGATGTGGAGTCTCTGACCTAGAAAAGTTACCCAGCAAGTTAGAGGGAGAGGTAGGAGGAGACCCAGAACTGGACTCTGCCCAGCACTCTTCTCTGTGTCTCTTGCTCCCTATCCTGGGGCTTCCAAATGATGAAAAGCAATAAGTCCTGGATAGATTTTCATGGTAGCTTCAAGGAATTCATGATTTTCACAGGAAAATCCATATCCAGCTGACCCTACACATCAGTTGTCTGGCACCTCAATCCATGATAAACATCAAAATGAAAAATAAAGGCAGGAGTCAATTAGTCCAGGACTAAGATAAAGCCAGCCTAGCTGTCAGACAAGTACAATGTCAGCCTCTCACTTTATTTAAAGCTGACATTTTATTCATTATGGACTACTTGATTGGTTGGTTGGTTAGTCTTACACAGCCCAGCCTGACCTCTTGCTCATGTAGCCACAGAAGATCTTGAACTCTTGATCCTCTTGTCTCTGCCTCCCAAGTGTGAGATTTTAGGCCTATGTCACCATAGCTGGCTCATACATTTTTAAATTTTTTAAAAAATATATTGCATTGAAATGGTATTGATCTTGCTTGATGCATCTTTTGGTGCCCCTTTCAGCTTTGTGCCTTAAACCAATGCTTTACTTCCATCTCCCTAACCTCGGCCCTACCAAGCTGAGCCAAGCCCAAGGCTCAGTCATGTAAGAGGACCCAGTAAAAAGAGGAACTAAGGGCATGTCAGAGCGAGAGGGACAAGGTTGAAAAAGCAGAACTGAACCCACAGGAGCCTACATGTGTCTTAAGAGGACACAGGGTATGGGAAACCAACATCGTCCAGAGAATCTGAGAAGTTTTAGACTTGGCAGTGCTGGCTTCATGCCTACAACTGGAAAGAAGGCAGGGAAATAGATGGGCACCCACCTTTGAAAATCCTGTTGATGGTGAGAGGCTTGTCTCCATGCAGAGAGCCCTTCCCTCCCTCCAGGCTGAAGCCCAGCCCTGCCGAGGTCTTCTCCAGTGTCACTGTGCAGACAATGGCCTCAGCTGCAGGAGAAAGCACAGATGCTTTGTCAATGATCTACTCTTCCCCCAGGCCTGGTTGCCCTGGCTAATGCTGGCTGCTTAACCAGCACACATGGAAACACAGACTCATCTCTCTAGTAAACTAGGTATGCTGTTGGGGCCACAGATTACTGAGCAGTGCTGCCAAACATGGATCCAAATCATCAAAGGCAATGTGTGGCTCACAGTGGGCTCATGCACCCCCAAACTGCCGGGCTGGAAGAACTCACCAGATTCTACAGAAACATCACTGACTGACAAAGCTGATGCTGCAGAGTCAGTGGAGGAGTTCAGGTCATACGTAGCCTCCAGGGTCACCCTCCTCGTGACAATCACAGCTTGCCGTGGGTCCCGAGCTTGGCGGAGGATGGCTAGGGCATCGTTATGAGTGGCCCCCTTCAGGGATTTGCCATTGATAGAAAGAACCTCATTGCCCTTCTGAATTGTGCCTTCCTGGGAGGCCAGTCCATTTGGAAATACTCTGTGAACCTGAGCAAGCCAAAAGACTCAATATCCACAAACCACCCAAATCAGGTCCCCATACATGCTGAAATAGGAGCCCGAACCAGGTAGCCAACCAACCCCAGAGGAGTTTAGGCCAAAGACAACATAGACTATGTCTCATCTCAGAGCCATGGTCCTGGGCCAGCATTCCTAACTCCTCTATTCAGAGCAGAGGTGGACCACAGTGGTGGCCAGTGAGTCCTCAGCACTCTGCACAGAGTGCCGTTGACTAACCCTACAACCCCCATCCACTCCCAGGAGACATCTACCTTGCCTGCCCCAGATCACATTTCCCCAAGTGATTTCCTAGAAGTATCGATTCTGTTGCACATTAAGGGCTATCATAAAAGAGCAGGGTTTTAAGATCAAAGAAACAGGGAATGTTTGGTTAAACAAAAGTTCCAAAACTAGCTATTTGTTCAAGGATGTTAGAAACCTTACAATGTTAACTTACATCTTGGATCTCTGAGCAAGCAATATAATAATACAGTAACTCCCAAAACAGGTTTCGGGGGAGCTTATAACTTCCATAGAGATGCTCAGGTCCTGTTTTCTGCAGGAAGCATTTGAGGTTTACTATCCTAGGCTGTCTAGACATCCTCATTTTTCAACTCATCACTCCCTGATCTCCTTCTGTAATATGGAAAATTCTTTGAACAATCTTGGGGCCAAAAAGATGGCTCAGTGGGTCAAGGCACCTGCCACCAAGCCTGATAACCTGAGTTTGATGCCCAGACTCCACATGGTGGAGGAGAGAACCAATTCCTGCTATGTCCTCTGACCTCCACATGGGTGCCATGGCGCACGCACACGCACACACACACACACACACACACACACACACACACACGCACACACACACACACACGCACACACACACACACACGCACACACGCGCGCACGCGCGCGCGCACACACACATGCAGAGAATTTTTTAAAAGTTATGTCTTTTCCTCCATCTCTTTAGTCATGAGAATTATAATTAAGAGCATTAAAAGATGTTGTGTGAGCAATCAGTATAGTGTGATATATGCAGTTTTATGTTTTATGGAATGAATACGTCTCCCTATTTCTCTAAATAATTTTTCTCCCTCCGCCCCCAGTGCTGGAAATCAAAGAGGCAGTTGAACTACTCGGCAAGTATTCTGTCCCTGAGTTATGACCCAGTCCCTTTTTAAAAATTAAATTAAATTTTATTTTATGTTATTTTATTGTCTTCTTTTGAGGCAGGATTCACTAACTTGCCCAAACTGGCCTTGAATTTGTGATTCTCCTGCCTCAGCCTCCAGAGTATCTAGGATTTCAGGTATGCACCTCTAGGTCCAGAAGAAAAATTTTGTTACATGGCCAGGCATGGTAAATTCCCAGGACGTAATTTGCAAATTTGAAACAACCTCTGCAATGAGTCTCATGCCCTTCCTTTACAAGATAGGTTCCTCAATACGGGGCAATGAATGCAGGCAACAGGCCACTGAGTGCAGTACAAAGCTCATCATTGACATGGCTGTGTTGACTTCCTTTTAAGGCGTCTGGGAAGGAAGATAAAGGGGATGTTCAGAATAGAGCCTCGTGCATTATTGCAGTTCTGGCCATGGCAGGTCAAATGCAATGAAGAGAAATCACCACCCAAGGGCAGAAAAGAGGCTCGAAGTGTTCTGTTCACAACATCTACACCTCTCTTCAAATAGGAAGTAAGCTACATAATCCTGAGCCTTTTTATAATGCTCAGCTATGGGCTTAGAAACAGAAATTGGTACTTAGAGATTATATGCGATCTATCATAGTAGAGAGCTTTTAAAGCAGTCACTGCTCACCTAGAACTGACCGAGACCTCAGGTGACAGCAATGTGCCAGGTTACCATTACCCGGGCCTATTTTAAGTTCACTACTGGCTGATGCTATAAGTTGGATGTGTTGTTGGCTGGGCAAAGAAATTTGAATGAGTCCAGCACTACCCACTATATAATATACTCAGCTTGGTGACAGAGCTGCTATGCCACACACAGCCTGGATCATGAAGACAGAGGACTGGAAACCACGAGGGTCAGACACGGGTGACCTGAAGCTGTGAACAGAGGATGAGGACAGTAGTCCAGGCTGATCAGATTGCCTGAGCCATAATAATGGGGTCCCAGGGAAAGATGCCCAGGATGCAGGTCTGCTGTCCTCCCCATGCTATCCCAGGGTCTAGGTCCTGCCTAGGGGGGATGGGCCACAAGCTCTGAAGCCTTTGGGTGAGCACTGTGGTGTGTGGTGTGTGAGTTGGACCATGTTCTTACTTTCCAAGGGGATAAAAACAGGGCAGGCTCCTCCTTTTCAGGAATCTGCCTTCTCAGGGCTCTTTCTATCCAGGCCAACTATGCTACGTATTGTGGACAGGTCTGCAATGCTAGTCTACAGCCTACTGAAAATGCTCTGTGGCCACAGGTTGTCCCTGTCTAAGTCTTAGAAGCCATTAAGCCTACATTTCCAAAGGAAAAGAGACATGATATTGTAGGAAAGATACTCCAAATCCTTGTTTGTGTATGTGTGTGCATGTGTGCATATTCATGTGTTTGCAGGCGTGTGTGTGTGTTTGTACATGTGCATGTGGAAGCCAAAGACAGCCTTGGCTTTTGGTCCTTAGGTACCATTCACCTTATTTTCAGACAAAGTTTCTCACTGGCCTGGAACTTACCAAGTAGGCTCAGCTGACTGATCAGTGAGCTCCAGAATCTGCCCATTTTTGTCTCCCCATCTCTGGGATTACAAGCACATCTCCATGCCCAGCTTTTTTTACTTGGGTTCTGGGAATCAAGCTCAGTCACTCATGCCAAACAAGTACCTTACTAACTGGACTATCCCCCCAGTCCTGCTCTTGAGTTTTTAAAGTATCCTGCAGACATTTTCAAAAATATAGGCATCAGAGCTTCAGTCTTACAAAATTTCAGTTCAGATATTCCGATGTAGAACATGCACACACATATGCACACATGTACACACATATATTCACACACATGCACACACAATTCTTTTTAAGCTTCGTGGGTTTTTTTGATACACTAAAGTTGCCTTGGATGCACAGAGACCTTCTTCATTAGAAGGCATATGAGGCTGAGGGTTTCATCTGGGTCATGTGGGAGCCCACACTGGGCTTCTTTGAAAGGATAGTCCCGATGACTGTTCTTTAAAATCCTGTCCCGACTCTCTGCCCAGAGGCCCAGTATCATGCATTTTTCTGTTCTTCCACACAAAACCTCTTCCTGGTACCTGCCTACTGCCAACCACTCGGGTTCTGATATGCCCATCACTGGATCACTTACCGTGATCACCTTGTTTTCTAGGTCCGCTCCTCCTGCCAAGCTAAACCCAAGGCCAGCGCCTTCTTCCTTGTGTAAAATGGTGACATGAATGCTGTCTAATTGCTGTGAATGAAAATACATACATTCACAAACATGGTACCATAGCAGTGTGAATAATCTAACACATGCTTTAACACCACACTGATTTGTTTTGTTAAACACCAGCTGGGCCAGTTCCCCCACCTCCTCAGACTTCAGTTTCAGTTTCATCATAGATGAGTTACAAGAAGCTTAGAAGGAAAAAAATGTATGTAAAAGCAGCAAGCGCAGCTCTTTCCCTCACTTACTCACCCATGCCCACCCACACTCCTGCAGACTGGGCTGCTCACTGTGAAGACAGCTGGAAGATGCAGCTCTACCGGACCATTGCAAGTCAAGATCAGGTTGTAGGATCTGAGTCAAAAGCTCAGAGGCCAAGGCTGTTTTGGGAGAGTTGGCTGTCCTTCTTCCTCTGTTCTCTTCCATGGGCACAGCAAGCAGCAGTAAAGGGCCTGGATGGCACCTCACTTACAAATGTACACAAACACACAGGTATATACAGCACATACAGGAACCAGGACAACTTCCTTGCACTGTCCAAATCTCCCATTCTGGTCTAGAGCTCTCTATGCAGTTTTACCTCCAGAGCTGAATCAGGCCTGGGGACTGATGGGTCATCCCACCTATAAGTAATGAGTGAGAACCATGGAGGAGGAACCACAGCCCAGGGCATCTTAGGTTCATCAGACTTGACTACACCCTTGACTTTAGAATGGCAGCTGCGACTCTTCCTATAGAAAAGGAGGGTCTCCCTGTTCTCTCCTCTCAGTCTACATTTTCCCAGTGTAGGAATCCTGCATGGACCCTGGGGAGCCTTCAGAGAGGGAGGCCCACCAGCTGATGCTCCCGACTCCTTCCTCTACTTCTGCTTGGGCCACTTCCTCTCCACACATCTTTGGCTGTGTTCAGAAATCATGTGGGAAGTGGGGCTTTCAGAATGACGTGGCTGAAGTATGAGGCCCTCGTGAACTCACGTGACTCTAGGTGTACAGCAGAAATAAGGAAAGCCCCAAAGTGAGAGCTCTTCCCACCTATACTGCTTACCACGGCTGCTTCTCTCTCAAGCCTCATGCTAGATCCATGGGATGTGCGCACAGCACCGAGTTTGGGTTCAGAGACAGAACACCTATGTTCTATGACCATGAATCTCATTTCTCATTCATAAAATGGCAAAAAGATGCAAGAAGTCCTTTTATTCAAAGAGCTTCAAGTGGGAAGTCCTGCTGTGGTCACGTGACATAGTGGCCCTCTGCCATGAGCAAGACAAAGTGACAAGGTGTCCCCCGCCATAGGCAACACAAAATCCAGACCTCATGTCAGTACCATGTCAGTACCTTCTTGAGCCTTGAGCCCCATGGGCTTCTTGAGCTACATTCCCCCTCTGGCCCCGCTGATGACCACACCTTACACAGTGAGCCCTTGTTGCTGCAGATGCACATACAGGAAACCTACCTTCAGAGTCGCTTCATCCAGAACTCTCACTTCCTCGATGAGTTTTTTCAGTTCTTCTGAGCTCAACAGGGAGATAACTGACTGGCTAGGCTGAGAACAGTGCTCCCGGTCCTCAGCTTCCCTGGGCTCAGTGAGGCCTTCTGAATATTCTCTCAGCTCTGAAAGGCTTTCGAGAGCAGAGACAGACAGTGTGAGAAACGTGATCCCTGGACTGTTCTATACCTGAACTATTGTGCACCCTCATGGACTCAGCCTGGATGTATTCCATTATTTGATATAACGTATCTACTCTCAGTAGCATAAGAATGATAAATAAGCTAAACAGGTGCAGAGCTGATTCAAGAGGGAGGACCTAGTCCTGTAGCAGAAGTCCTCAGACCCCTCTACCAACTCACAAGTCTGTGAAGCAGGTCTCACCCACCTAATTTCAGCTAAAGAGGAAACAAGGATGAGTGTGGAAGGAATCTGTTCATGGTCAGAGTTGGGACCACATCTGAAATTAGGACCAAATGTCCTCGCTCACTCCCAGGGCCAGGGCCCATGCACAGAGCAAAACGGATTCTTGTTGGAGGGCAAGGGAACATCTGGCCTCCTCCTGCTCTCCTTGAGTTAAGAGTAGACCTTTCAGAGATTCCCTCAGCTTTGTGCATCCTCAGGGGCAATTTACTAGGGACTGGTCCCACTCCCTACTTCCTATCCCGATCAAGACCAGGTGCTGTGTAAACTCCTCAACATGGATGAGCTATATATAGCACACATACACACGCATACACACAGAGGAATGATGTTTGATATCTGAAAAATGTTTAAATGATATATAATGTAAAACAGAAGATGGGAAAGGACAAGAATGGGGACAGTGAAGAGCAGCAGGAGCACAGACACTCACTTGAGGGAGAACCCTGTGTCGGAGGCAGCGGCTTCAGCAAGACCCTCTGCAGCTGAGTCATGGGAAGGTGACTTTGGAGACATCCTTTCCTTGGGGACACAGGTGGTCTGGCCACAGGAGACTGAAGATGGAAGGCACAGCAGAGATTTCATGACAGCTGACGATACCTGACTGCTGATGGAGTAAAGCTTGCTGGTCTTTTCATCCAGTAGTTTGGTCTCACAGGACTGGGTCCTGGTCAGAGGGAAGCTCCGCGCCCGCTGGCTCGGCATCTTGAGGGATGGACCTTGAGTGTCAATCTGTGTAGCCAGCAGCTTCAGGAGAGGGTCTGGGTCTGGGGAGAGGACTTTTGGGTTGGGCTGCTGCCCTGGGGGAGGAGACTCAGACACACCTGGGTCCCTGACCTCTGAGGCAAGGGGAAAGCCTGTGGGCATCTGCTCTAGCTCTGCCTGCCTGTGCTTAGCAGAGACTAGAGACCCTCGCCCTACAAAACCAGAAAACCGTCCACCCTCTTGCTTTGCTGGAGGCTTGAGGGTTTCCCCAGAGCTGGGCTGTAGGCTCAGTCTCTGGATTCCCCTGTCCGGCAGTTGTGAAGAGCCAAAATTTTCAAAGGAGCTAATTCTTTGCTTGATGGAGGAGGAGGCCTGCAGGTGTGGCCCTGGGGACTCTCTGGAAACAGGTGCTGGCTGGGTGGACGAGGCTACTTCTGGGAGTCTTCGGGGATCTGGGACTCGATTCCTCAGACCTTTCAAGCTTTGACGAAACCAGGCTGGCTTGGGGGCCACTGGGGGCCCCTTCTTCACAGAGCTACCATCTGCTGACTTGTAAACTTTGGGAGCATGGTTGGCAGTGTCCAGTTTTGACAGGAGCCCCTCTGGGTGGTCCTGTGTTCCATCTTCTTCACCCAGGCTGGCGTTGGGCTGTAGTGGCATATGGCTGTGGTTCTCACTCATAATGGGGCTAAATAAGTTTTTGATGCAGTCAGAAATTCTAACCCAAGGGTCTTCAGCTGTGGTATCAAAGCTATAGTCCATCCGCGCCTGCCTCTTCAGCAGGGGGTGTTTTGCTGGGGACACTTGGGTCACTGGGGAGCAGAAACAAAGCCAAACCTGCATGTTACATCTTGTTGGGAATTTTTTTTTCTGAAATTCTCATTCTAAAGCTTTAGGCTTCTGGAGCTAGAGAGAGAGAGAGTTAAGAGCACTGGCTGCTTTTGCAGAGTACCTGGCTTTGGTTTCCAGCACCTACATGGTGGCTAATAACCATGTGTAACTCCAGTTCCAGGGCATCCGATGCCCTCTTCTGGCCTTCACAGACATTGCATGACATGGGTGCACTTATATACATGCAAGGAAAACACTCATACACATAAAATAATAAAATAATAAAAATAAAAAAATTTTAAAAGCTTTAGGACTCTGGAGTAAAAACAGTGAACACCCTGGTGGGCCAGCTCCAGGATCCGTCATCTAACTGAGGTATCAATGGGCAGGATTATAGAACCAGACCAGAGTCCCCTTCCTGCCATCTTAACATCTTAGTACTGAAGTGTTCTTGGGGAATATCTGCTCCAGTCTCTGGTGCTTTATAAGGGAGGACTCTAGTACTCAGGAAGGATAAAGAGCCAGGAATGGCAGAGCCAGGCACGACCCCTCATCTCCTTATGAGAATGCACCCTTATTTGAGGAGCACTGGTTCCTCCTATCTCTGGTCTCATTGTCCAGCCTCAAGGGAAGTAGACTATGCAGATCATTGAACTCTGATATCAAAGGGGAGCTTTGCATGATCGGGCAGATCTGCATGGAGAATAGTGACCCTAGGACTTCAGCAAGTGCATCCGGCCTTCTCAGCCTCTTTCTGCATTTACAGATTGTTCAGTTGTCAGGTGCTGTTATGCTAAGAATGAAGAGTCAAAGGTTCTACAGGAAAATCCTTTGCAAACTAGGGTGTGTCCTCAATTGTGATGACTAATGGAAGGGAGGATGGAGAGGTGGAGCTTCTATCAATGCCGCACCTCCTCTGGGTGAGATGTCTAGATCTTTCCATTCATAATCACCTTAACTCTCCAGGGGCCTTTCATGTGTATAGGGCATATGTAGTCTCTGTATTTATTCCTCTGCCATTCTGAGAGCTCCTCAGAGCAAGAACATGTCTGTTGCTTCCCTTTCTTTCTCAATCCAGACAGCAAGCACAGTCTCACACATCCACCAGTCAATGCAGTGAGTCATATGTTAGGTTTTATGTGTTCTGAATGATCCCACAAAGACAAGATAGGCTGCCTAGAATCATAGTTAATGTTAGGTGAATCCATGATTTCCTGCCTCTATATCCTTAACTCTTTCTAGTAAGCTACTAAGTACTCAAGTAATGGTAAGGTATTGACAGGTGTACCACTTAGATTCACCCTTGCTGTCTGCCTCCTGGATGTGGTAACCAGAAAGAAACACTACTTGGGCTTTTCCCATGCAGCATTCTCAGATTTGGGAGTACTGAATGCAGCATGCTATAATGTTGATGCCTTAGAGGCAATTGCCCAGGGTGGTCTGTAGATGTATCTTTGAATGTCTTTCCATGTGAACAATTGGGAATGGCTTGCATTTCCACCACTACCACCCCAATATCGCTGCTACAACCTGGAAGCTTTCTACCCTAAAGAGCACCTCCACAGTCTTCCTGCAGCGCCTGGGACTCCTGATTGTCCATCAGCCCAAGGCACTGGCCATGTCAGTGCAAGACACTGACCTCAGGCCAAACTCCTGCTCCTATCTGATCTCTGGCACTCCTTTGGGAAGATTCCTGTGGTGGCTCACCTGGGCTGGCTCTTCTCTGTGGCTCTCCCTCCTTGCAGGACACAGTCTGTGAGCTGACTGCAGGTCCTGGGCAGCAGGCAGTGGTGCAGGGGTTTCTCCCTGCTGAGTCTTCCTGTGGCAGTAGCAGTGGCAGCAGCTCTCTGGTTTCCTGTGGTGTAAACAGGAAGCGAGACTGTGTCAAAACGGTAGCCTCCAGCTGTGAGAAGGCAAGGCACACTTTGATTAGGACTTGAGTGAGTACTGAGAGACCTTCAGTGGGAAATGCACAGCAACCTTGGAGAGAGGGTCTTTTCCTCCTCTGGGAAGTTGTTGCACAACCAGCCCTTATTGGAGGCTCTGGGTGTTCCTGGACTTCCAACAACCTGCTGTGTCTAATATGGGCACACACTGCCCACACAGGAAGATTCTGGCTCTCTGTGATGGGAGCAAGAGACTGGAATTTGGAAGGTGCTAGCACTACACTGCTTACAACATGTGGGCTAACTACCTCCTTGAGAAGGGTACAGAGCAGGGGACAAAGAAACTTCCCTCTAGTGTTCTCAAAGTTAAGACCTAAGGCCACTCAGAGGAAAAGCATTTCAATTTTTCCTATATTGTTTTCCTTTATTTTAAAAATTACATTAATTAATTGTGTGTGTACAGCACAATCAGAGAACAACTTACGTGAGTTAGTTCTCTTCTTCCACTATATGGGTCCCAAGCTACATCCATCTTGGCAGCTCATGTCTTGACCTGCTGAGTCTTGCCAACCCTCAGTTTGTTTTGATTTGTTTGTTGTTTTGTTTGAGACAGGGTCTCATGCATCTCAAGCTAGCTCAAGCTTTCTGTGTAGCCAAGGATGACCTGATGCTCCTGCCTCCACATCCCAAGAGCTAGCATTACAGGCATGTACTACCACACCCAGTTTAAATGATGTTGTGGGTCAAACCCAGGTTTTGTACATACTAGGAAAGCACTCTACCAACTGAGCTACAGCCCAAGTCCCCCAAGGTAATCAGTACTTAGTAACCATGCTGCCAAGGATAGAAAATATTCAATGTTCTGACTCCCCTCTGAGCACCTAGGGTAACACTATCAATCTACTGCAGAATTGTTTCTCCATGGAGAGGGATGTTGTTGAAGGATTCTTCCTAAAACAGCCCTGCAAGGAGATGGCCTAAGAACCAAATAACTATCTAATGCTTAGGTAGAGTTACCACACAGCCTGAGTGACATGCAAGGGTCAGCGTCAGCAGAGGGCACATGAGTGGTTCCAGAGGCAGAGGGTGACAAGATGTAGGCCTCCTTCCAGAGGAAGGACAGAGGCAGAAACACACACATTATTTAAGACTGAAAAAGATAGCCAATGCCGAGGATAGCAGATCTAATGTCTACATTGACTACAAGCAGGAAGGAAAGATGGATAAAAACTAGAAAGGTTCTCAAAAGTCATTGACTATCCCGAGGTTTGCATTGTAGGACTGAGAAGTCAGCTCATCCAAAGAGGACTTGGGGCTTCTTGAAACAGTCCTTTGAAAAAGTGAGCTTTGGCCACGTCACCAGAAATTAAAATACTAAAATAATAATAATAATTAATAATAATAATATATAGTGTTCTAGAACACTCATGGGGAGCTCTGTGTTGAGCATGGTGGTGCATGCCTTTAATCCCAGCACTTAGGAGGCAGAGGTAGACAGATCTCTGTGAGTTTGAGGCCAGTCTGATCTACATGGCGAGTTCCAGGACAGTTAGGGTTACCTATTGAGACCCTATCTCAAAAGACAAGAAAAAAAACCCAGGAGTTCTCTGAGGTGACAGCCATCTATGTCCATGAACTATTGGGTACTTTGACAGACAGAAATATCCAATGCCAGCCAGTCATCTTAGAAAAGACTCAAGTATGTTTTATCTCTCTCATTTTCTTTCTTTTTCTTTCTTTCTTTCCTTCTTCCTTCCTTTCTCTCTATTATTTAGTGTGTATGAACACATTATGTATATGTACATGTGGGTACATGTGTGTAAGGGTGTGCATGCAAGTGTATGCATATGTGTATAGAGAATAGAGGACAAGCTCAGGAGTTGTCCCTCAGAAGCAATCCACCTTATGTTTTGAGACAAGTCTCTCACTGGCCTGGAGATCACCAAGTAAGCAAGGCTTGTTAGGAAGTAAGCCCCGGGGGATCTGCCTCTCCCTCTCCAGTGCCAATTGTTTTTTTGTTTTGTTTTTTATGTGGGTTCTGGGAAAGAACACGAGTCCTCATGCTTATATTGCAAGCACTGTACTGACTGAACTATCGTCCCTAGCCCCCATGTTTTATCTTTTAATCAACACCTCCAATGTTGCCGTCTCTTCGTGAGAGGTCTTTAAAATTAATCCCTGACATTAATTTGATTTTATACAAATTTTTTTCAGGTAAATATGTTCTGTCAGCATTTGGAGGATGAGGGAAAGGGAGAGGAGATAGGGTGAGAGATATGGATTTAGCAGAGAAAGCAGTTTTCTTTAAATGTAGGTGATATTTTGAGATGATTTTTGAAAAAGGACAGAATTGATAATACCTTGAAGGACATTTGAGCTAAGGAAATTAGGTCACCTTCGGTGACATTAGATGGGAAAGATTTATGGAACATCATCTGTAGCTGCTTGAGAGGGGTCTGGGGATCATGGAGACAAAAAACTACAGAGAAGGGTTAGAGAAAAGGCACAAGGAAAAGAAGGAAAGGGATCGGGAGGGAGAGGAAGAGAGAGGGAGGCAGAGGGGTTGGATATGGGGCCACAGAGAATAATGTGACGTGAGAGGCCCAGGAGTGGTAAAGGGGCCTTAAGAATAGTGTGTGAAGTCAGTTGATTCCTGCTTTCTGTGAGGCTGAACTCTGACTCCGTGACCCCTCACCCAAGGCAAGAATGTTGGGTTGGTCATGTGCTTTGAGGACTAAGTTACACTCCTCAGCTCCTTGCCTGCCTGGCCTTCCTTGCAGACATCCTGCTTCCTCCACAGCTGCCTTACTTGGCAATGCTCCCTGCCCTGCGTGTGGCCCCACCTGGACAGGCAGCCCAAGGGCTTAACCAGGGCACCTGCTCTCTGTCTTTCCTGGGTCTGTAAAAGGAAGGCACAAAGCCTCGCTTCCCATCTACTCATTTCTGATTTGCTCTTCTGGATCCAATCTCAAGCCCAGAAGTAAATGAAGCATCTGTCGAAAGGAGGAGTCAGAGAAGCAGATCCACCTAGACATACCCAACTCAAGGTGCCAGCCACCCATCATGTCAACTGTCTGTTAGACTGCACTTCCAGTTTAGTAACCCGGCTCCTCTTCCTTCACTGTGCCCTCACCCTGGGACTCAAAACCTTCCTCCCACAACCACCTCCCTGAAGTTTATCAACCCTCAACCCTCAGTTAGGCTCCTTCTAGGACAGTCCCAGAGGCCAAACCCCACCTCCACACAAAGCCCTCAATGCAGCCCTCAGCTGTTGTAAACTTGAGTGAGTTCTTTCTCAGCTAAACTCAGACCCTAACAAGGACAAACTAAGACAGTATACATGAACATATTTAGCATAGTGCTGTGCATTAAAATGGCTCGAATGATAGCAGCTGACTGCCTACCATCTGCCTTCCTTGAAGGGTTGAGCTGGAGGAAGAAGGTCTTTACAGGGTGATGGGGAAATAATCACTGCAACCTGTGGAAGGAGCCACTCAAAGCAACCTCAAGCAACAGCTGAGGATGCCTAGGCTTAGAGAGGCGGCCTCCCTCCAGCCCCACCCCATAAGGAAGTCAAAGCTAACAGAGAGAAATGTGCTCAGGTTCATGTGCTCAGCCATGCTTTCACGGGATAACCCTGCTGCAGATCCACCAAAGTGTGAGACAAACGCTACGCAGGGAGAACCTTCAATGTTGGCAGCTAGAGTCAGCTTGGGGCCTCCATTTTGGCTCTGCCCAGCTTCATTCTTCTCTCCGTGGGCCTAAGAGAAGAGCTTCTCTCTGCCAGAACACGGAAACCTGCAGACACTTACAATGATCAAGGACAGCTGTGCATGGTGCAGGGGGACATGAAACCCACTGTGCACACCCTCCTACCTGGGTGCAGGGGGACAAGGTGTGCCCAGAAGGGCCTGTGACCTTCTCTTTCTCTTCCAGACTCTTCTGAGGCTCGCTGCCACTTTTAAAGTATTTTCTGGGTGGAGGCTTGGGTTTGGAGGATGTTGGCTTTCTCACCAAAATCTCAAAGGATTTCTTCAGTCTCAGTGGAGGATGGCTGTCTCTGTCCAGACTCTCAGGAATGGGTGGGCTCTCCTGGGGAGGCCTGGATGAGACCCCAGGACACGGCTTTTGCTCCTGGCCAGGGGGCAAGCTGGGGCTGTGTGTGATGCCTTCCCTCTCAGAGGGCTGTGGCTCCGCACCTGCGCTGCAGGGACTTCCCCCTGGTGATCCAGACATATAGCTGCTGTCACTGCTGGAGCGGACCATGATCTTCTGGGCCCTGCGATGTGGGGGCGCCGAGTGCTTCTCACGATCCTTCTCTGTGCTGGGCCGTCCATGCCAGCTGCTCTCCAGCCTTTTGACACCTGCATGGGAACATAAGAAACCTTCCCAGTTGAGCCACAGAAAATCAGACACCCCTGGCTGTGCCCAGTACTGCTGTAGGTGGCACTACATATACCCCACCGCTGCTCTGTGGAGGACACTTTGCATTTGGAGCCTGACAGCCTTGGGTTTGGTCTCCAAAAAGCTGTGGGTTGGGATAATCACTCACCTTTCTAAGCCCACAAGTAACAGACACAGAGATGCGCTATTCGTACCACCTATCACTACCCGTCATGCCAGAGCTTGGTGTCCCAGCTGCGCAGAGACTGGTAACAGGTGTTTTATAGCTGTGAGCTTCTCCAGGGATTTACAGCAGCTACCCAGCCAAAGGAAGGCAGCCCAGTCCTCAGGGTCTGGTGGAGGCTGAGGGTTATACCCTGGCTAGACTTTGTTGCAAAGTCAGGCCAACTGTAGTGGGCCATGTAAGTTGCAGAGACCCAGAGCTGGCTGATCTCAGCTCCACCAACCTCTGCTCTCCCCCTCCACTCCCTTTGATAGAAGATGATCCCCCAGGAAGCCTCTTAAAGAGCATCTTACTTATTAAACTCTATTTTATCATCTTCCTGGGAAACTTAGTTCCTACATTGTTTCTGCAGATGTGAAAGGGGATAAGTTCTAAAGTTACTGAGATGCTTTGAGGTTCAGTAGCAAAGAAAGAGAACATGTGAAGGCATTTTGAACCCCACACTCAGAGGGGTACCATCTCCTTCCAGCAGAAGATGAATTAAAGCCACAGTCCCCTCTTTCCCTTTCTGGCACCCCATGCTCCACGGTTTCCTGCATGGTAACCATTCACACATCCCCCAGAGGTGGTTCTTTCTAGTGGCAAGTGGACAAGGTACCCCTTTCCTGAGACTGCAGCCCAAGGGACTAGGAGCCTTGGAGACCTGGCCATTTGTGGGCTCCTTCTGTGTGACTGAAAGAGCCAGAGGGGGGCTCCATGAAAAAGCACCAGGTTCAGCCAGATTCATAATCCAAGCACACTTTGAAGAAAAAGCTTTTTGCTTTTTCCTGGCCATAGAATAGCACATCTTCATTAAGAAAACTAAGCCACGAAAGGCAACATTCCCCTACATCTAGTCACTCTCCACCACCATTAACAGCAGGATTGGTGTTTCCATGTCCACTTCCCTGGGCATATGTGCATTGGAGTGGGTAGAGCCCTAAGTAGGACAGAGAAGTAATAAAGTCTCGGTCCTGCCTTTCTCTCTGGCTGTTTTCCCATTCCCTTTAGTCTCCTTGCCAATATCAATACTAACACTGTACACAGTTCTAGCATATGGATGTCCCATGGTGACTTGGCCAATGCCCTAAAACTAGACACAGGAACCAGTCAGCCTGGTCGCTGACAAGTTCCCCCATGACCTAGTGGTGGGATTTTGGCAAAGGGAGTCATCCAGAGCCTTGCTTATTCTTATAAAATGAGCATTATAAAGTAGATGTGAGCCAGGGGTGGTGGTGCAGGCCTTTGATCTCAGCCCTTGAGAGACAGAGGCAGGTGGATCTCTGTGAGATCAAGGCCAGCCTGGTCTACATAGTGAATACCAGGCCAGCTGTGGCTACAGGGAGACTCCACCTTAAAAAGATAAAAAGAAAAAAAGCAGCTCTTAAGATTTAGTGAAATAATACATGAGCTATGATTAATCAGGAATATTCAGTGTCTGTTATAGAGGAGGGGTTGCAAATTGAAAGCCTTCGAGGATGTCTTGTGGGCAAGGCAGCCTGGCAGACGATGAAGGGGTAGAAACTACTGCAGAGTGCCTGCCACATTAAAACCATTCAAACCATTACCTTCCACACAAGTAAAATTGTGAGCCAAATTTAGTTAGTGGGCTCCTATCTTTCAACTGCTATCTAGAACCATGTATGTATACCGCCGGACTGCTCCACATATTGCTGAAGCAGGGGGTGGATTTATGGTTGGACCCTGAGCTTTCTAAGCAAGTAGATATTTCAAGTGAAAGTTCACCATTTCCCTTACCTTCCAAACTCCACTGGTGCCTCTCCTTTCCAAATTTGATGCCCTCCACAGCCTGAGCCACAGCTTCCTTGAGTTGCTGTTCAGAAACCTTGAAAATATCAATCACCATCTCAGGCAAGCAGTAGAAACATGGACATCATATTCCAAAGACTGTACCTGTGGGGCCTGTGGATTCTACTGTCTATTCTGCAAATAACTGACAAATTCCACTTCTAGAAATGCCCTGGGCATCTACAGTTTCCACTTCTAGAAATGCCCTGGGCATCTACGGTTCCCCAGTCGCTTCCAGATAATGTTCCGTGTCCATCAGTAAAGGAGCTCCCAAGTGACCCCTCTTGGTTCTCTGCCCTCCCTTCCTCAGTACTTACTGCAAAACTCTAGGCAAAGTCACCATTTCATAGTCTCCCTCCTCAAGCTGTTCCAACTTTGGCAGTGCTGTGCTGTGTTATACTGTCACTGTTGCCACTGTCAGTGTCACAAGCACACCATTCTAGGGCCTGCGCTATGTTCTAGTTCACGGTTAACAGCTAAGCATGAGTCTTGGAGTCAAATGAACTTATACTCCAGGCCCAGTTTCTCACTGTCTAGGTGTGTATGGTTAAACAGCTTACTTAACCTTCTAAACCTCAATTTCTTGTTCTATAGAATAATAACAATAAGATCTACTTGAGAATACAGAAAGATGATATTTTACTAAATAGATCATTGGAAACCAAAGTATATAAAATATTCTAATAATAACTGTTGGGAGCTATTAATCCATTATGTGCATAAGCTGTGGCAGGCTTGTTTACTGAGTTTGTGTTTTGCATACCAGTACCTAATCTGCCAAATCAGGAGGAATGTGTTTATATGGTGGAGCTCACAAAACAAGTATTTGACTGCTCCTTGACCCTCAGATACAGGTGGGAAAAACAGCTGTTGAAACTAATTGAGTTCTTCTGTATAAAAAGACTGAGCTGAAATAAACCGGGGCTGCAGTCTCTACTGACAGTCCTCCCAAGTATCTTTTCTGTCCCTTGTTTTTTCTTTCAACCCTCACTCCCCCTTTCAGGTACTGTCCGTCTTGGCCGGCTGGCACCGGCAAATAACAATAATTGGGGGCTGAAGAGATGGCTCTGTGGTTAAGAGCACTTACTGCTCTTACAAAGGACCTGAGTTCAGTTCCCAGCACCCACATCCAGTGGCTCACAGCAGCCTGTAACTCCCTCTTCTGGCCTCAGCAGATACCCACATACATACACACAGGTGAATAAAAGTAAAATAAATCTTTTAAAACAAAGTAATAAAAGATGTGGAGAAACTAGAATCCTTGTGCACTACTGATAGGAATGAAAAGTGGTTCAGAGATGCCTCAAATAATTACATATAGAATTAGCAGATGACCCACACTGGACATATACCCAAAAGATTAGCAAAAAAGAGCCAGGTATAGTGGCTCACACCTGTACTCCCAGCACTCAGAAGGCTTCAATAGAAAGACTGAGCTACATATTAAGTTCTGGGTTAACCCGAACCCCAATGTGAGAACTTGTCTCAAACAAATAAACAAGAATTAAAGGAAAAAAGTATACCTCAGAGCAATGTCTGCACCCCATGTTCTTTTTGCATCATTACAATAGTCAAAGGTAGAAACTCCTGACTGTTGACTGTTCATGCATAAACAAAATGTTCTATATGCATACAAGGGAATAGTAGTCAGCGTTACAAAGGAAGGAAATTCTGGCACCAGCTATGACATGGATAAACTTTGAGGGTGTTATTCTAAATGACATAAGGCTGTAACAAAAGAACAAGTATGTCATGGTTTCGCTTATATGAGGTGTGGGGTCAACACCATAAAACAGAAACAGAAGGGTGGTTTCAAAGGGCCTTGAGGAGGAAATAGGGAGTTAATGGGTAGAGTTTTAGTTTTACATGACAAAATTCGGTAGTGGTGGTTGTGAAATAGCTGAAGGCACTCCTATTTTGTCCTGGGCTGGTCCTGACTCCAGTTTGTGCCTTCTTTGGCATTCTTCCCAGCCACCAGCCTCCCCCGGCAACACATTTAAGACTTCCCAAGACCCTGACTACGGCCTAGAAGTATAACCAAAACAACTCCAGGATGTCTAATCAAAACAACGTATAACCAAAATAATTGCTAGGTCTCTTTGACCTACACCTGGCCCAGCTGTTTTTCTGAGTTTTGCATTTATAAACTCTGTACCCCTTAGTTTCAGCACTAAGAGTGATTTTTTTCTGAGGCACTAGCCACTCTTAGTTGCTTGCTAATCAATAAAGGACTTCTTTCCCTTTTAATTGACTTTAAGTGTGGTGGCGATCTGTAATTGTCTTGCCTGGGTATCACAGTTGTAAAACAATGTGAATGTCCTTCATGTCACTGAACTGTACATGGAGAGATGTAAGTAGCTGGTGTGGTGGGGCACACTTGCAGTTCCAGCACTGGGGAGGCTAAGACAGGTGGATTGTGAGTTCCATGTCAGCCTGGGTTACCTAGTGAGATCTTCCCTCAAAGAAAAAAAGAGAGAGAATTAACTTTTATGTGTATTTCAATACACAAACACACACACATACACACACACACACACACACACACACACACACAATCATTTAAAGTCCTGAGTGCAATTCTTGGCAAATGGTAAACTCAAAGATGACAGATGTCATCAACATCAGTCCTGCTAGGTCAAGAACACACCCTTACATCAGACTAGGAACCAGGGGCTTTGACAGAACAGGTGATTTGCCTAAGATCACCATATGTAAAGAGCAGATTAGCCATGCACCAGGCATTCTGGTGCTGAGCCAAGGCTGTCTTCCCTCTGCCTGCTGCCTGTGCCCATATGTACCTTACCTAGAGACCCTTGGCCTTTTTACAGCACCAAATCCCACCCTGCCCATGTCTGACCCTCCTCCACAGCTGGCAGCATAGCCTTCATACAGCAAGAGTAAGCCACAAATCAATGGTTACTTTTTCCTCCCATTTCTCCTAGATCTTATTGAATCATCTGCTTATCTGAAGAAGTATGTTTTCTTTTGTGTGTTTGGCCTCAGTGTCTAACAATGGAATAGGGCTGCCTTTGAATGTCACTATTCATTATATATTGATTATTCCCCTGTTCTGTTATCTGTCCTATTTTCACAGAGTTCTGAAACCGGTTTAGTTTAAAACACAGGATTTTGTGCATTTAATTCACTCCACTATTGGGCAGGTTCCTTTTCCTTTCCAAGTCCCAGTTTCCCCATTTGTGAATTGGAGAGGAACAGCACACCGACTTCAGAGCTTTATGGAACCATTCAATGCGTTTGCATAAGTCACATACCCAGCAAACATGGCTGGAACACAGTGAGGAAAGACTAAATAAATAGTGGGAAAGAATATCACCAAATTCCCAAAGTGGTCACACCTATGCCATGGTGACAAATCCCAAGCCTAGCTCCATGTTGGAACTCACAGCAGTGTCAGCACTCAGTGTAACTGCCTATGGGGTATCTCTGCCTATACATCCCACAGTCACCTCAGCCCCATCATGTTCCCCCACTCCCAGGTCATTCTCTTCCGTCCCAGTCCATGCCCTCCTTCTAACCGCCATTCCTGTGGTAGTATCACCATTGCTTAATCAGCCCATCTAGGAACACGCAAGACATCTTGAGTCCAGACCTAACAACCAGCCAGCAGATACTGCTGATTCTTCCCAAGTTTGGCTTCTTGTTCTTTCTTCTTTTCTAGTCTCTCTCCATGCCTTCTGCTTAGTCCAGGTCCTCACCACGTGTTTCCTTCCTCCAAAAAACTCTACGCTCCATCCACTCTCTTCTGCTCAATGGCTGAACCAATAAAATCTGAACATGTTACATCTATAGCTATTGACCTTCTGGAGCTTCTCATTACACCCAGAAAAGAGCACAACTCCATCAGTAGTGCATTTAAATCCCTTTGCAGTGTAACCTTGTGCCTTCCCAGTCATCCTCAGTTTTCACACTCTCCTGGCCCACAAAACCTGCTATCGACTCTCCTGCCATGAGTGTCCCATCAGCACTCTGAACTTTGAACTTTGTGTTCAATGATCCCACTTCCTGGAATGATCTTCTGTAAACTGTCCAGAGAATGCTTAACCCCCAGTGTCCCTTGCTTTACTGACCCCTTCTTCTTTATGTCAGTCTATTGATTGAGACTGAGCTTCCTCAGGACTCTGCACTGCAAGTCTGCTTGTCTCTGCATCCTCAGCGCTGAGCTCCAGATATGCCCATCATGAGTGCCCACCAACACAATCATGAATAGATCTCTTGCATCTGCTAGCTTAGACCCTTGGGCTCTATCTGCCCCGGAACTACCTGATCCAGAACTAGTAACTCAGCAGCAAGAGTTTTCCTAAGTGAATACTAAGTGAATTGCCACTAGTGAATAAGAGTTTGTCAGTGGACCTCTGTTGCAGAGCTTTGTTTCTGAAGAAAGTTGGGTCAGGCTTAGAGAAGTCAGATTCAAGTCCTAGCCAGCAACATCTATTTCCATCTGTTTCTTGTTCCGACTTTGGTGCTGAAAGAGTGATCCTGGGCAGAAGATAGCCCAGCTGGGTATTACCTGTGGGTCTGGATGTCGGCTGACGATGATGGGGACTGGGCCAGGCTCACAGTGACTCAAGATTGCATAGACTTCATTGAGGGTCATGTAGTGCACTGGAGAATCGTTGATTTCCACAATCTCATCACCACACCTGCAGTAGCACCCACAGAAGACTCAGAAAGTGAATGACTGAAACAGCAGGAGTCACCTCCCTAGGACTCCACGAGGCCAGGCAGTTCATGAGATTGAATAAGTAGACTTCCTCTCTGCCTGACCAAAACTCAGAACAGGGAAAATCAAGGCAGCACCTCCCCCTCTCATGGCTGGACCACAGAATGGCCAGTGTTTCAAACACAGAGTGATACAACGTGAAAAACTGGTCACCAGTCATTTTCCTTCTCCTTTTCCCATCACCCTATACCTGGTCAAGATTGCCAGTATGGTCCAACCCATCTAACTGATCAACCAGTTAGCCATGTTGTAACCCATCACATCTTCTGGGCCTCAGTGTCCCATAAGTAAAATGATTGGGAGGAAGGATTAGATGTGCTGAAGGTAAAGAAGAAATAGCCAGGAAGGAGTGACGTGAGATCCTCACAAGGAGAAACAAGGGCAGCAAGTGATGGAACTTGGCTTTTAGGTGGGACACCAGTTACTGGTAACTACTGTGCTGTAGATAAGCATCCCCCCAAAGCCCTTGTACTGAAGGCTTATTGGGAGAAGGTGGTGAAAACTTTAGGATCTGGGGCCCAGAGGGACCTCTTCTAGTTACTAGGGATGTGCCTTTGTAAGAAACAGTGAGGCTCTGTGCCTTACTCTCTTTTTAGATCTCAGACAGGAGGTGAGCACTTTACCATGCTCTCCTCAGCCGGACCCACATGTGGTGACATGTGGTGAGGCCAGGCAGACATGAGGAGAGCCTCCAGAACTATGAGCCATTCTTCTTAAAAGTTGATTATCTCTCAGTGGGGTATGGTGGCGCACGCCTTTAATCCCAGCACTTGGGAGGCTGAGTCAGGTAGATCTCTGTGAGTTCCAGGCCAGCCTGGTCTACATAGTGAGTTTCAGGACAGCTGGGGCTACAGGGAGACCCTGTCTCAAAAAGACCAAAAAAAAAAAGAAAGTTGATTATCTCAGATGTTTGCTTCAGTAACAGAAGCTTGACTAACAGAACAACCTAAACAGAAAAAGAAGTGAGGCCGAAAAGATAGAGTTGTACTGACACGATGGAGGATTTGTACACATCAACTCCTTTCCCCCTCACAGGTGGTGAAACTGAGGCATAAAAAAATTAAATGATTTCCTGCTGCAATCTAGCTCAGAGGTAGATACCTTTACATAAAAGGCCAACAGTAAGGATTTTCAGGCCATGCCATCTCTGTCACAAACTCTTCCATTAAGGGTGACAGCTTCAACCATGGAAGGCACCAAGAGCAAGTGCACAGCTTTGGGCCAATAAAACTTTATTGGAAACAGCTGGTGGAAGGTCATGACTTATAGGTTATCAGCAGGACCAGGGCAGGGACTCAAGTTTCCTGATTCTGCTTCCCTTGCTGTGGTCCACTGTTTCCCTCTGTGTTTCTACTGAGCTGGCCCCACCTCTATTGAGATTATTTACATTCTGTGGCTGGAACTGAAGAGCATTGTCACACAGCTCCACATGTCAAGGAAAGCAGAAGCTTCTGGAACCGTTCCTATCCCACTGAAGGCCTCTGTTAGAGGCAGCAGAGATTAAGCAATCATCCCAGCCCACAGTTGGGTTCCCTGCCCCTTGAGCTGGGTTTCCTGACCCTGCAGCTAGGTCACCCAGACTCTGCAGTTAGGTCACTCAGCCTTGTAGCTAGGCCCCCATTCCTGCAGCTGGGTCATCCCATTATGCAGCTGGGTCCCAAGGACCAAGCAGCAAGCTCAGCACAGCAGTAGGCATTCTCTTACAGATGACAGATGGTACAGCTATTTCTAACTCAGAACCTCCATCAAGACACCATCCAAAGCAGGTTGGTCCTCCTTGCACTGTAATTACAGGAAACTTTTGAAAAGTAAGGCGAAACCTTTTAGTAAAACCCAGTCCCAGCGAAAGATGTGTTTGTACCACTGGCAAATGTTTGAATGACTGTAAAGTGTCATCATAGCTTAAATTGAGACAAACTCTTTCTATCCAGACCAGATCACTTACTGAACCTAGAACTTCTTTGTAGAGAGACATAACTGGGACATCTGAAAATATTTTCCTCATTCCAGCAAGGAAGTGTATGCACACAGCTGGTTTGCATAGGTAAACCTTATGGAAATTCCTATTTGTGACACTGTGAGTTCTGTGTCTGTTGAATGAGTCAAAATACATTTCCTTCACATTTTCTGTTGCAGTCTGGAATTCTCTGAGGCTATGCTTCTTAAACTGTTACATGTGCATAAATTTCTGGAGGTGTGTTAACATGTGGATTCCGAGTCAGCAGCTCTGGGGGAAACCACTGAGATTCTGTAGCCCATTCTCTCTCCCTGGGCTCAGGTGATCAGCGTGGCTGGCTGAGGCACACACTATGGGGAGCAAGTGAGCCATGCCTGAATCATTTGAAATTTCTCAAGTTCAGGCCAATCTCGGACACTTGAAGGGATTTCCTCTCTGTCATAAGTCAGGGATCTGTTCAGAAAGAGAAATGAGTACCCACCGCAGTCGTCCATCGAGATGAGCCACAGATCCTGGTGAGAGAGTGTGAACAAAGATGCCCGAGATGCACTGGAAATACGGGACACTGCACAGGCCGATTCCCAGGCCGACACCAGCCTCTGGAAGACAGTGGGGGTAAGGAATGGGAGATGAGCTTTCCCAGGGACAGAAGGGTACTAGTGTATTAAGTGCTTGATAAAACCCTGTGTGTGGAGTATATGTTCTGCACAGGTGATAGCCAAAGCAGAGGGCAGGTAGTAAGATCAAGTTGAAAGTCTAGGAAATGAGAGAGGAGAGGATGGCAGAGAGAGGGGAGGGGAGGGGAGGAGGAGGAAGAGGAAGAGGGAAGGAGGGAGCTAAGTATTATGAAGAGAACCAATGGGGAATGACCTAGAAAGTGGCAGGATGCCATGGCAGGCCTCAAAGTAGACTACTTTTAGTCTTAGACAGGGATAACAAGAAAGAGCCATGATGAGGAGATGGCGCACTGCATCAGCAGCAGAAGCAACTCATGAGGAGGCTGGAGGCTAACAGGAGCCCACAATGCTGCAGGTCCAGAGAGGCTGGTGTACTCAGAACATGGGCAGACATGTGGAAAGTGGGATGAGCTGACGAAGGGGAGGGAACGAGGGCCAGGCTTAATCAGGCCTTGTAAGCATGGGTACACCAATGAAAGAAGACATTTAACTGAGAAAGGGCATCACCGGAGATCACAAATGAGGAAGTGGTATGACCTAGTCTTCTAGTGAAGACTGCCTGACTCTGTGAGGAGAGAGAACTATGGGCAGTTATGAGCAGTCAAGAGCAGAAACCCAGAAACCAGCAGAGAGGCCCTGTGAGTGGAAACAGTGGCATCCTGGATTCACTGTAGGGCAGCAAAAGAAAAAGGTGTGTGGAATATATTCTGAGGAAATGAAGTACAAGGATTGGATCAATAATGTATCTCAGAGGTAGTTTTATTGTGAATAACTAGTGGGTGACAATACTGTTATTATATGGGGGAGACTGGAACAGGCTGAGGATGAGGATGAAGATCAGGCATTTAGTTCTGCCTGACATTTGTACCCATGATGCCCATGAGGGTGTTTGGGTGGACATGGGCAACAGATAGTTGCACAGGCAGCCTGGACCATAGGCAGACTGTGGGATAGACGTTACAGATTAGTATTAGAATATAGATGGCTTTAAGGCTCTGGGGACCTCCAGTATGGGAGGAGAAATGAATTCACCAGCTTAGAAAGATGTGAGAAACAGGGTAGCTGAGAAGACTTTATGGAGAGGCAGGGGCGTGGGAAGGAGAAAGACCTTCCTTAGAGTTTTCTTTAGGCCAATATGGTTTACAAAGCACTTTTGTGAATATTTTCACCTTTTGATGCTGGTTCTCCAAACAGCCCCATGAGAGATGGATGCTGTGGGCCATGGTTAGTGATGCTATTCTACAGGTGAAGAATTTGGGCTGTGATTTGTACCATGAACAGAGGTCAGAGCCATCCTGGCATCTAGGCCTCCTAACCAAAGCAAGAGCTCTTTGGCAGAATGGGCATCTGTTATCTGTGGGTCCCCGAGGCTCACCTCAAGCACAGTCCATGGAGGCAGAAGCTAAGAAGCTGCTATTTAAAGCAAGCCTGCAACGCTTCCTGGAGTGGCTTCATGCCTCACCCATATGCCATATCATGCCTACTCCCTGAACTCAACACAGGAGCCCTGCTGGCCATGTGCCAAGTACAGACCTGTGCTCACCTAGTGTTTGTGCCATAGATGTCTGAGGGCTCAGAGAGCTCGTGGTTTGGCAGAGAAGCTAAGACCCGCATCAGGCTAGGGATCTGTTGCATCCCCCTGCCCTCCACTTCCACAGTGTGTCTCTCCACACTCACCACTCCTTCCTCTGACCTGTGCAGCTCCAAGTGTTTCCCAGTCTTTGCTTTGAAATTCAGGAGATAGTTCAAAGCAGGAGGAGTTGCATCACCCCTGCCAGAAATCCTTAAATCAGCCTCTAGCTACAGTTAGGAGACAATTGAGCTACAAAGCCGTGCAGTCCTCTCCTCTCTTTCTCCTTTTCTCCCCACCCTCCTTCTTCCTCTCTTCTTCTCCCCCTCCCCGTATTTCCCTCTCCATCTCCTTCTCTTTCTCCATCTTCCTTTCTCTCTCCCTCTCTCATCCCCCATGTTAACACCACTCCCTGTACCCACCTTGTCGTGCCCAGTGCTGGCCTTCCCCCAGTTCCTAGAATACTTGCTGGTCCCTGCACTGGGCTCTGTGCCTAACGGGGTCCTTCCAGTCTCAGTTCAGCTGCACTTCAGCAGAGAGGACCTCCTGGGCCCTCTAGAATTAACCATCCCATCACCTGGGGGCATGGAGTGAAAGGCTGTGGATCCTCAAATGTCAGAGCTAGAACGAGCCTTGCTTCTCTTGAAGAGGCAAGAAAATGGGATCCAGAGAGGGTCAATGGACTGCCCGGGTTCTTAGGATATTAGCTGTGCAGCCTAGCTCCTGGCCATGTGTGTGTGTGTGTGTGTGTGTGTGTGTGTGTGTGTGTGTGTGTGTGTGTGTGTGTGTGTATACATATATAGTTCTCTGTGCTTACTTTGTTTTACATTAACCACCTCATTAAAAATCATTTTCTGGGTTTGGATGGTATAAATAAGCTTCTAGAAACAGGAACAGGATGAGAGTCAATAAGATACAGCTCAAAAGGTAAAGACACCTGCTACCAACCTGATGACCTGAGTTCAATCCCTGGGACGCACATGGTAGGAGAAGAAAAGTGACTCCCACAAATAGTTCTCTGATCTATACATGAGTATAGAAGGAAGGAAGGGAGGGAGAAAGAAAGGAGGGAGAGAGGGAGGGAAGGAGGGAGGGAGGGGGGGAGGGAGGGAGGAAACAGACAAGACCTGGTTGCCAGGCCCTGCCAAATAACACACATAGCATCTGCTAGCGAAAGCAAACACCCTGTCCTGCCCTGTGCTCTTTCCAAATGAGGGAGGCCTGGGCAACTCTGCCAGTGGTGAGCAAAGGCTGGTGATTCATTCCTACCTTTCTTCAGAGAAACCTCCACCATGATTCTGTAGTTGGGCTTGGCAGTACTGACAAGGGACGCTGGGCTTTCCAAGGAGAAGGGGCTGCTGTCCTGGGCACCACAGGTGCTGGAGCTCAGGGAGCGGCAGAGTGGCGGTGACAGGTGGCTGCACAGCGAGGGAGGCGCTGTCAGGCGGGTCCTCACCGTCAGGGTCAGCAGCCCCTTCTTAGCTTGCTGAAAAGAGAGTGGCAACATCCAGGACAATCGAAGGAAACGGGTGGCTGTAACAGTAATTAAAAAGAAAAAAACTTCCAGGGCTGGAGAGATGGCTCAGTGGTGAAGGGCACTGACTGCTCTTGCAGAGGGCCAGGGTTTGAGTCCCAGCACCCACATGTTGGCCAACAATCGTTCGTAACTCCAGTTCCAGGGGCTCTGATGCCATCTTCTGACCTCCGCAAGCATTTCACAACACGGGTGCACTTACACACATGTAGGCCATACATCCATACACATAAAATTTAAAAAAAATAAAATTTTTTTAAATTCCAAGGAAATGCACGTGCTTGCATCATGACACATTACATATGATTCATACATGTACATACATCCTGCATGTACTATATAATATGAGATATGTATGTATAGTCTGGATGGACTCTAAAACTAACTTGTCGGAGACTCAAAAATAGCTTTTAGTGATATCTTAAAAACTCAAAGCAGGGGCTAGAGAAATGACTCAGAGTTTAAGAGCACTGGCTGTTCTTGCAGAGCCTGGGTTTGATTTTCAGCACCCACATGGTGGCTAATAACTATCCATAACTCCAGTTCCAGGGGAATTCAATGCCTCCTTCTGACCTCTGCAGGCACTGCACGATACAGGTGCACTTATACACATGCAGGCAATACACTCATACACATAAAGGTAACAAATAAAAAAATTTTTTTAAACCATATAAAAAACTCAAAGCATTGATAAATCAACTAGTATAAATACATGGAGTGTTTCAAGACAACTTTATGAATACTAAGTAGTTTAAATGTCCCCTGACTATACTATCATTTCCTGAGGAATTTCTTCAACACTGTGCCCAAGGGTGATATCAGTGAGGTGCCCTGCACAGGACATATTTTTAATTTTGTGGACTTGAATGAAAGAGATGAGGCTGAGTTTGTTTCCATTGCCTGAAGACCCCAGAGTATGGCCATATGCTGATAAATCACCTTGAATTTCTGCAAAGCATCCTGATGTGTTAGGCCAGCCATCGATTCACCATTGAGTTCTAAAATTTCATCACCTGTCAAAAGACAGAGACAGTAACTAAGAACACTGCTGACCCACCAGGGTCTTCCCACTCACCCAGTGGCAAAAGCACTGGGGAAAACACCCTCTCCCTTCCATAGTCCTCCAGGGGAGGCCTTCCCTGGTGCCTCTTACCTTCCAGGCTAAGGTCAAGGTCTGACCTGCTGGCCTGTTTGCCTCTCTATTTCACTCCACCCCCTTTCCACCTTCCTGGCCCTCTTGATTTTTCTCCTGTGAGGTATTTTCTGATGTAACAGGACCTTTTTCCTGTTACAGCTCTGTGCAGTGAAGAGCCTGTCTGTGTCATTTTCTCAGCTAGAATGTACTTCTGCATCTGTCCCCAGCCCTTTCTCACCACCTTTGTCTTGTCCTGTTCTCACACACCCTGCACCTTCCATCCACGTCACAGCACTCATTATTCTGCATGGCAATCGGTGACCCCCAAAAGTCCCTCACTGGCACTAGGCCAATTCTGCTCTATGATATGGGCTGGAAACTGGATTTCCATCTTAGAAAGAAAGCACATAGTGAGAAGAACCAGGATTTGGACTTTATTTTTTAGCAGCAAATCCTTTCTTCACAACAGTATATTCCACAGAGAATCACTCTTTCCATTTTATGTGAATGGAAAGCTGCTTTCTCCTGTTCATTCAGCTTATTCCACACACAACCACTGAACTCTGCCTTCTCTTTGCCCCTACTGTACTGAGCAACCCAAATGTAGGCATTTTTACACTGACTCCTGGCCCTGATGGTTACTGATGAGTCTGCTGACATCTAACCCCATTCCAGTAGAATTCATTCTTTGGCTTCTTCTCCAGTTGCTTTAAGATTTTTTTTCTCCTTTTTTCTTTCTGAGATTCTGCAGCTGAAATGTGCTAGGGTAGGAGGAAATGCTGCTTCCTCAAACTACATTTCATGTCCTAAAGGAACTCTGAAAATCCTGAGTCACTGTCTCTTGACATATTGATCCTGCTTTTTTGTCCTATGTGCTTTTCATAAAATTCCTACTAGATGTATCAGACTGTTCTCACATGCTTACTATACTTCTAAATGCTCATTCTTTACTGTGGCCCTAGGTAGTCTAGCGGGAAACTTCCAGGTCACTAAGAGAAATTCTTCTTACAGCTGCATCCAATCTGCTGTCTAGTCTGTTCATTGAGGTTTCTTCTTTTTTTTACTTTAATGACTATGATATAAAAAGAACTCCAAGTATTACTTTTTGCATTCATTACTTCCTTATACTTCATATTCTTCTTACCATTTAAATTTTTAAACATAGCAATTTATTAATGTCTTTTATATTGTTGCACTTCCTTAAGCTTGTGCGGGCCTGTTTCCCATTACCTCTGCCTTATACTGTACATTTCCTGATGTAGTTTGCAGTGTTTATTGTGAACTCACTTTTCATGATATTTCTGTTTCCCTGTGGGATTCTGATAGTCCCAGGTCACTATCAGGTTTCCCTTTATTTCTACCAGACATCCCCAAGGGTTACACTGGACTGGTTCAGTTTCCCAGACTGAGGACTTCTATACTCTACAGAGGCCATGCCACATGGCTGACATGCCCATATATGACATAGGCTAAGTCACAGTTAGTCAAGTTTTCCTGTTGCTTCCCTGGGGCCTCTTGGCCTTTCATGGAGAGCAGGTCTTTTAATATCAAGCTTTATTCAGACTCTCAGAATGTCATGTGACCTAGAGCTCTGTGCCCTGTTCCCACATGTGCCTTCAACTTGCCCTTGGTCCTTAGGGTCCACCACACCCCAGCAGCCCCTAGGTCAGTACATCATCAACTTCTGACTTTGTCTCACTTAGATTTAAAATCCTTTCTTTGCTTCTTAGCAACTGGGTATCTCTGTTGCTTACTTTTGAGTTACGATGTACTGTTTTATCTAATATGTCTGTGTGTTGGAAACAAAAGATTTCAGAATAGCTCAGTACAGTGGGCCAGAATCAAAGGGAACACTGAAAGAACTCTACTCTTGTCATGATAAGACTCCACCGAGGAATGAGAACACACTTGGTAAAAATATTCAAAATATGCCAGGTATGATGGAGCATGGCTATAATTGCAGTACTTGGGAAGCACAGGCAAGAGGATCACCGTAAGTCAGAGTCCAGCCTGGGAGATATAGCAAGTGCCAGGCCAGCCAGGGTTACAAAGCAAAACAAAGCAAAACAAAATATAATTAAATGTGTGCTAAGAAAAAGACAGACAAAGTAAAAACTTCAGACTATCCATTATTACTTCCACAGGGGCTGAACTTCAAATAATTAAAGCATCTATCCTAAGGGACAGTGTAACCCAATTCTGGGCTCTTGTGTGGCATCCTCATTTGCCCATATCTGGTGAACACTGATTGGCCTAGGTTTTGCCAAACACATATTGCACAATCATTTGGGGGAAGAAGAACAAAAATAAATCATCAGCAATCTGTACAACAAACAAACTTATCATAACCAATATAATCCTTCGTGAGCTCGAGTGGATTTGAGAACTTCACTTTTGAAGACAGTTTGGTCAATTATTTGAGGCTAGAGCAAAGAATTGACTGGTTGAAAGTCTCTGTTTTTATGATCACTATTAACGAAGAGAGACACATCAGAAAAAAATAAATAAACAAGGCTGCCAGAAAAGTTTGAGAGATAACCAAACAATAGCACACCCTGGATTCTGTCCTTTCTCTCTGGCTCCTAACCTTTTCCTCCTTCTCAGTTTAGTAGTTCCTCTAGAACTGCACTTTGTCCTCTCTCTCCCCACCCCTCCTTTCTTCCTTCCTTAATTCACTCGATTCAGTTATTTCCCAATGGACGAGCCTCAAAGGTCAACCAAGTTTTCCTGGGCCGCCTGGATAGCGCCACCTAGTGCTCATTGAAGCACATCACCCTCTCTTCTGCAGGTCCCACCTAAAGTACTAATTTGTCTTCACTCTCCTCCCTGTCCTCTGCCTCTTCCTCTAGGAACACATCGTCTTTCTTCAGTTGACTGAGGCCACAAACCTCCACCTTTTCCCTGACCCACCATTCATTTAACAGTCTTCCCAGGCTCTGTCACTCATTGTCTCCAGACTCCTGGAAAGGTTACAGTCTGTAGACAGTCCTAAGAGCTGAAGCCTGGAATTGGAGAAATGGCTCAGCAGTGAAGAGATCGGAGTTCAGTTCTCAGCACCCATACTGAGTGGCGCACAACTGTGTGTAATTTCAGCTCCCGGGCATCTGACCCTCTCTTTTGGTCTCTGAAGGCACCTGCACTCATGTGTGCATGAGAGAGAGAGAGAGAGAGAGAGAGAGAGAGAGAGAGAGAAGAGAGAGAGAGAGAGAGGGAAAGGGAGAGATGGAGGAGACACAGACACATACAAATAATTTTTAAATTTTTAAAATCTTTTTTAAAATTAGGAAAACAAAACAAACAGTTGGAGCCTGCCTCCACGTCGCTTCTGGTCTCTTGCCTGCCCACTGCAGCCTACATTCTGCTACTCTGCTTCCTGAATCATCCAGAGCCTCTATAGTTAGTCCCTCTCCTATGATAAAAACAAGGCTCCCACTGCCCACAGTATACAACTCTTATGCCCAGTCCTGCCTGTTTCTGGGATTGGTAATGCTTTCTGCAGAGTCAGATAGTAAATGTTTTCATCTTTGTGAGCCACATTATCTCTGTAACAATGACTCAACATAGGGCTGGGCACCAAGGTAGGCACAGGTCTGTGAAATGTGAACCTCATCCTAATTTTCACAAGCCACCCCCCCCAAAAAAATCAAAGATAGAATTCTTCAACCATTTAGAAATACAGAAACCCTCTTTTCTTCATGAGTGATATAATACCAGGACCGTAGGCTGTAGTGTGGCCACCCTCCCATAGACAGGTCAGGATGTTAATGATGATTGGAATGACAGCCTGGCTTATAAAAAGACGCTGTTCTGATGAGGAAGAGCAGGAATACTATGAACTCCCTTCTCCTCGTCAGTGCTGGATATACCAGCTCTTGACCTGCAGGGCCTACCCTCTGCTCTTGACTGACTACCCATCCTTAAACTTTACCCCTTGGCTGAAACCCAGAGATCTCTTTGAACCAACCTTGTTGCCCAATAATCCAAACATGGACTTAGGGTAGAGGTAGCTGAGGTGTCTGTGCCCCCAGAACAGGAAGACAGGCAGCTGTGTTCCCCAGCCCCCTCATTCCTAGGATGACAGGGGACCTCTGTCTTCTGGAGATATAAAAAACCTGAGCTGAGGAAGTAATTGGAGGGAAAAGGAAAGTAGGGGGGGTAAGGGCTGCCAGTGGGCAGGCCATTAGCACTTCAAAATAGAAGTCCTATCTGGCTCTTGTGAACTAAAGTTCCCCCCAAAAAGCCACACCTGTGTTGACATTCTGCAAAAGAAATGACTGATGAGAACGTCCGGAGTGTGGAGAGTAGGGATGTTGCAGATCAAGAGCCACAATTATCTTAGGCTATCTTTAGTTACCTTACTTATCACTCACGTTTGTATCTGACCTAAATCTTTCAGACTACCAGGTAAAAGCTTTTTGACTGTCTTAAGTTGGCAGATCATTACCTTCCACCAACCCCAAAGCTAAGAATGTTATCATATAGCATCTAAAACCCAGGGCAGAAATTCACCCATTTTGTCAGCCCATCTTCCTGATGCTCCCAGTGGTGTATGGAAACAATGCCTGGACTCTGACTCTCTTTGGTTCTGTGACTCTACCAGTTCCTGGAACCACTCTCACCATGGAACATGTCATCCATGGAACATTGGTGCTCCTGGGCCGTGGTCACTAGTATTTGGCTCAGAATAAACTTTCCCTTACCCACCCCCCAGCCCCGATTGGAATGACAGCTGTGGTTTGCATCAAAATTCTCTATATCCCTAGAGCCTAGAATGTGGTGGACACTCAGAGACTTGTACCCACTCATCTGTTGGAAGCACCTGGTGTCCTATGGGAGATAAAGAAAAGATGGTGTCAGTCCTAGCAACTAAGCAGAGATACTGGAAAGGAAGGAACAGAATGAGAGAGGAGCGAGGGAGCAAGGCAGACCAGTCTTCGGTCCCAGGCTGACAAGACCAGTGGGAGGTCATGGTGTCAGGGACTGATGGACCAGTCATCACTGTGATAGAACCCCTATGGGGAGAAGTCTCCCACTGGCTATAGAGCCCAGGGTCCACAGAAGCGTACCCTGAAAGCTCAAGACACATCATTCACTCCTAGTATCTGCCCTGGCCTGCAGGCTCTGGATTATGCTTTTGATTTCTCAAGCACTCTCAGGGATGGGAACCTACCTTCCCGTAGCCTTCCATCAGCGGCCGCAGCTCCTCCTGCAAAGATGGTTTTGACATAAATCCCAATGGGGCCATAAATGCTGTCCTTGCCCCCAACGATGCTAAAGCCCAGGCCCTGGGGAAAGAAGAGAGGGGTGGTCTAGGAACATTCTGGCTGTTTCTTAGGCTGTTTCCCAAGGATCGTTTAGTCCCAGGGGTCTCAGAGCTTAATCAAGGAAGGCAGAAAAGTAGTACACATCCAGCCTGGGCTATGGGTCAGAGATTTTCCCATGAATATGATATTCCCCACAAAAATGGATGCTGGGTAGAGATTAGTGCCCTTGCTCTCTCCAGGTAGCCATTTTGAAACGGTCCAATTATTTTCTCCCTCTGAGCCACAGTATCCCCCTTACAAAATGATGTTGCCTATTTCATGGGTTGCTTGAAAGTAAAGTACACTACCAGGAAACAACAACGAAAACATCAGACTGTGAGCTACCAGAAGTCAGCATACACATCTCATTTTGCAGTGCTTAGCTTTGGACAGGTGCTCATGACACACATGTTGTGAGACAAATCCAAGTCTTTTGATTCAATGCAGAAGCATCTCTGGAACCAAGCTCTGGGTTTGGTCCTAGACAAATCCTTAAAGTGATTGCTGCTACTGGTAATGATACCACGACCTATAAATGACTGATCTCAGACCACAGCTCTCAGAGCTCATGAGAAGCATCACCCCTGGACCAGAGAGATGGCTGGCTCTCAGTCATCTTCAAGATGCCCTATGGAGTGAAGGGAGCATGTGCCAGGAGGAAGGCCACAGGAACAATGTGCTGCTGTAAACTGAATGAAGGGAGCCTGTGTTCTAGGATGAGGGAAACTAAGAACTCCAGGAGGAGAATCATCCATACACAGTAGTCATATACACTTAAATGACTTATACAGTTGCATATGAGTTTGAGTCTAGCTTAGCAAAAATGTGAGGTAGCTGTGGTTTTGGGGCATCTTGGTTGAGAACAAGGTATAAGGCTTAGGTAGTCTGGGGTCATCATCTTGGGTCAGATGCTCAAATTCACCAGGAATTGGAGGGTCCTGTTACCTCCTAGGGCCTTGGTCTCCACATCTATGAAAGGGAGATGATTATAGGGTTATTTTAAGGACTAAAAGGGCTGTCCCTGCAAAGTCCTTCACAAAGCCTAGGTTTGGAGCCAGTTTGGCTAACCTAATCTTGACTCTCCCCCTGCAGCTGCTGACCCCTCCTCTTCTGGATCCCAGCTTCAGTCCTCCCTGTCATTCCCTGTAAGGAAGTCTACAGTGTGTAGGATGGCCTGCTGGATGGTGGGAGGCCTCTCTTGTGTCTAAGCTTACCTCTCCTGCCTTGTATGCCAGGCTTCCTGCACCATCCCCAGGCCCTATAAAGATTGTTTATCCAGTGTACATTGTATATTCTCCAAGATAACCCGTCATCTCGTGACTGTTGGTGCCCTTTTCCACTTTATCTTCTTTCGGGTGCTTCCAAAAAGATCAATTTTTAAAGGGACCTCTACCCCCATTCAAATGGAAGAAGTACTTGATTTATTAGTCAGAAAGGAGGACCGTCCAGAGAAAGCTACACTGGGTATGCTTCTTCCTTGTGACTTGAGGGCCATTCGCCCCAGCCATGTTCACACCTGACTTCTCTGTATTGCCTGATGAGTTTCCAGGAGTGAGTGGGAACATGTAACGGAGGGAAAGATAACTTCAAGTACGTGGAAGGATCACTCCCGTAGGAAGATCAAAACAGCAATTAAACCCTTACTTCATGCCACATGAAAATGCTATTAGGTAGATTAAATGAACCAGATGTTCATGATTCCAGCAGCTGGGTGGCTTGGACTGGTTTGAGAATGTGGTGTCGACTGCCTGTATCTGCTCTAGTTATTAGTCACATGTAAGCCTGTTATGATTTGGATATGAAATGTCTGAATACTCTGCTTTCAGCTGTGGTGCTGTTTTGGGAGGTTGTGGCCTAATTAGGAAATGAGTCCTACCTGGAGGAAAGTAGTCACAGGACAACGGAAGCCCAACCCCATTTCCTGTCCAGTCTCTTCTTCCTGATCTTCCCCCACGAGTAAGGAGCCTCTGTTTCTGTCACCACAGGTGAGAGCAGCTCCTGCCACTAGGTTTCCCCTACCGTGATGGACTGTGCACTCAAACCCTGAACCAAAACAAACCCTTCCTCCCTTAAGCACTTTCTTGGCAGGTATTTGGTCACAGGGACCAGAAAGGTAACAAATACAATGCATAAGGCAGCACGCTCTGAGTTGAGTGCAGAGAGACACTGGGGTGCTCTCCCGCTCTTGACACTTATGTTTCCTCTCTTGTTTTTGTCTCAATTATGGAGTATAAATTAATATGATGTCTCAGCATCTAGATAGAGCAGAATCAGTTCTGACTCGTCAGAGTACTCCAACTGAGGGCAAAACTTCCATGACCATTGATTGACGCTTATGCGGCAGGTAGCATATAGTTTTCAAATTTGTTTTTGAGACCAACTTTCTTCTACCAGCATCTGAATGTGAAGGTGAAACTTGGCCCTATAAATCTGTGTAATCCAAAAGTAATTTGGATTTATGTTATCTCGGCAAGACTAAGCTATGGAGAATATCACACCAAGAAGGACTAGGGAACAAGCCTGGAGAATGCTCGGTCAGTTGGCAGGAGATGGTGTCCTCAGAGAGAAAACAATCACTTGGTCAAATCAGAGTTGGTACTGCTTGAAACGCCGCAGCTACCACTGAGCTTGAAAGACCACACACACATGTTGTGTTCACCCCCTTCTGCCGCACTGGGTGTGTCTTGGCCCCATTCCCACTTTTCCTTGGAGCAAGAGCTCCTCAGAAACAAACATTGCTCCAGGACTTCCTGTTGGTGATGATCTTCATTCACCTTTGCCTGGCCTTTCATTAGCACGATGTTGGAGATGACGGAAGCCTGCAGACCCCCAGAGAGCTGCCCGAGCTGAGCCGTGCTCAGTGACCGAGTTGGTCTTGAAGTGCCCTGTAATGAGGAACCAAAGAGGGTAGGGATGAGCCACATGTGACATCAGCCAAAGAGAGGAGCCCAGCTACCTCCCTCCCAGGGGCCAGCAGCCTAAGGATTAGAATGTGGTTAGTGGGGTGTAGGTGACTCTGGTGCAGAGAGCCTCAAAGCCCACAAATGTTTATGAAGGCAGTTAAGCCAAGGGTAATATCACAAACCACACCGCCAGGATAAGCCCCTAAAGTCAAGCAAGAGCTCAAAAATACCACTATAGACTGTTCAGTTCAAGGGACATTTGCCATAATTTCTGCTTGTGCCAGGCATGGGGTGGTAGGCAAGAGGTCTGTGACCCAGAACCTCAAAAAGAGAATGTGAATTCCAGGGGAGGCAGATGGTGGCTAACTACTTGCATCAGAGAAGCAGAGGGAACCAAATAGATGTACATGCTATGTGCCCCAGCACCCCAGTGAGGGACAGCATAACTTGGCAGTAATGCTGACACTATGAAGCACTCTTGCCTAACCTAGATTCCTTTCCTGGCTCTGCCAGTTATCAACTGGTGACCTTGGAAAGATGACTTTGTCCTTGTGTGACTCAGTTTCCTCCAGTGGAAGATCATGATTCTAATAGGGCCTTCCTATGAATATGGTTTTGAGGAATAAATCTATATAGGTGCTTAGAACAGGGCCTGACCCATAGGAAGGGTCTACAAATTCTTATTATTATTACTCTGTGTTTCTTGACCAGTCCATGACTTGGGAAAATTCTGGTGCTTCTTCCCTGGCCACTGAGCCAACACACCAGCGAGTGTGTAAGGGGGCAGCAGGATCCCTGCTCATGAAGATGCAATGCTGCAAGTCAGCAGCATCACAGGCTGCTGACTCCCAGCCTAACACTGTCCCCGCCTACCAACTAGGGGATCCTGGGAAGGCCATATAGCTTCTATGAGTGTTGATTTCATTATCTATAGAAGTTAAATGTTAAAAGTGCTTACCCCTTCAGGTTGTACTCCCTAGTGGAATATCTCTTTGGGTAACAACACAAATGCACACAAACATTGTCCCATGACTAACATACATGGAATATGGAATGCATATGTGTTCCAAGACCATCACTCCCTGAACAAGTAGCTCCCCTTGTCCTCCTCCTTCTCCTTACCTTCCCTCTTCTCTAGACTCCTTTTGCTGGGTTGAAGCTGCCAGTCCCCAAAGGTACTCACAAAATGCACCACCCTGTAGCTCTAAACCCCACTCAAAGCTGTCCATTCACTGCGGATCCCATTATCCCTACCCCCTAAAAACAATCCTTCTGGAACCATGACCTTGCCACCTCCCTTGGAGGTCCCATGAAGACAAAATGAGACCATGTATGAGTATCTGTGATGGTTAAATTTAGGAACTTGAATGAGCCATGAGGTACCCAGATATTTAGTCAAATATTATTCTGTGTGTCTGTAAAGGTGTGTTTGAATGATATTAACATTTAACCCAGAAGGCCAAGCAGATTGGCCCTGACTGAGGTGGGTGGGCTCATCCAATTAGTTGGAAGCCTGGAGAAGGCAAGAGAATTGACTGCCTGTGTGAGACAGTCATTCCTATCTGACTACAGGCAAACTGGGACCAGTCTCCCCTGCCTCCCTGTTCCATCTCAAACAAGAGCTTTTCTGGGTCTTAAGCCTGAAGGGCTATCAGACAGAGCCTACATCATCGATTCTTGAGGTTCTCAGAGCTCTGGGTCTGCATCTGAACTAAACCATTCGCTCTCCTGGGTCTCTGACTTGCTAATTTATCCCAAAGAATGTGAGATTTTCCCAACTCATATTTACATGAACCAGTTTATTATAATAAATCTCTCTCCCTCTGTTCTCTTCTTGCTCCTCTTTTCCCTTTTGCTCCTCCTCCTCCTTCTCTCTTTCTCTCTCTTTTCTTTCTGCCTCAGTATCTAAGGAAGATTGGCTTCAGGATCTTTATTGATACTAAAATTTGTGGATATAGATGCTCAAATCCCCTAAACTGGTACCATATTTACATACAACCTATGCATAACCTCCCATATACTTTAAATTGCCCCTAGATTACTTACAATACCTACTAGGATGCAAATAGTATGTAAACAGTTGTTATGCTGTTTCGTTATGAAGTGGTACAGATGCAGCCACTGTCCATTCAACTACACTTTGGTCCGTGGTTAACTGACTATGTGGAGGTGGAACCCACAGACAGGGAGAGCTGGCTATGTAAGTATCCTATTGCTTCCCTGGAAACCCCTGATTACTGAATTAGCTGCTAGATACATGCTGAATTTGGCAGGGCTAAGTACATAGAGGAAGCCTCCACAGTCATCACAGCCCTGCTCATCTCCCGAAGTGTTCCTTCCCAGTGGAACTTGGTCCCTCAGTCCACACCACAGCTCTCTTTGCGGGCACCACCAGTGACTACAACCTCTCCTTACTGGCCAGAGCCGGAATCCCAGTGCAGGAAGTAGAAGGAACATCAGGACAACTTCTCTCAGGAAGTTCCCTTGCCTCAGTCCCTAGGGACTCAGCTGCAGATCTCAGAGGGCTTGAGTGTCCTTCCATATAGGCCCGGACATGGGGTCCCTCGGGTATTCTCAAACCACAGTCTTTTCTGACACCTACATTTCCAGTTTTCAAATGAAAAACAGTGCCTCAAAGAAAGCAAAGGAAGAAATTTATACAGCATCCCCTATGTACTGTGCTGGGAATCAGAATATCACTTGACCTTGGATTCAGTCACTGGGAGATAAACACTACCAAATAACCCAATGAAACACTTTGCTGAGCACCGTGAGAGAGGTGCAGATGCCTCCTGAGGGACACTGGCAACATATGAGACCTGTGCCATGAAAAAGACCAGGAAAGCTCCCAGAGGAGGGAACATAGAGTGGGTTTTGAAGAGTGAGGCAGGGCAAGGACAGGAGAGGCATCACAGGCAGCCTGGGGCAACACTGTGCTTCATGTCTGTGTAGTTCCTAACCTGTGAGCTGATCTATACTAAGAAGGACAGACTGGGGGGCCACCCAGGTCTAGTGCGGATCAAATTCTGATCCTTCAGTTTTAAGATACGTAAACTCCCAATGGTTACTCACCTTACCAAAGCCCATTTGATCCCTGTAGAATGGAGCTGCCCACACAGTCCTTTCTAAGCAATTTCAAGACTTGCTAAAATGTTGGTAACTTCCTATATCCTACACAGGGGCAAAATGTATAGTTCTGAAATAATGAATATCCAGCTTCAGGGCTGGCAAAGTAACTCAGTGGATAAAGATGCCTACCACCAAGCCTGACAACCTGAGTTCTATCCTGGGGACCCACATGGTGGAGGGAGAGAACCAATTCCTATAAACTGTCCTCACTTCTACACATGCACTGTGCCACGTGCATGCCCACATTCACAAATAAATAACTAAATAAGTAAATACCTAAATAAATAAATGTTTAAAAAAATGGTATCCAGCATCAAGTCCCACCTCTGTTACCCACTAGCATTGGGAATGTGAATAAATTCCTTAACTTGCCAAAGTCTTAGTTCCCTAGTTCCTTCCTTAGGGTTATTGTGCAGATGAATTGACGAGATGTCCATTAAGCTTTAGTTCAGATTTACCTGAGGATGGGAAGATACCAAGGAGCTCCTAAAGCACAGAGGTGGAAGCAGTTACATGTATCTTGCACAAGGGGGCGCCTAATAGCTGGACCTTCCTAAGTGATCTTTGCTTAGGGGGACGATTTTGACAGCTAAGCAAGCTCTGTCTCTCTGTAGTCTCTGGACAGAAGACCCCTGGGAAAGTTCTCTCAGCTACTGCTAAGGTTAGATATCCCCTTTCCTTCCACATCTCCAGGACCCCTCCCCTCATTCTTACCGAAACTGGACAGTCCAGTTGTTGAGAGAGGGACTTCCTGTTACTGCAGAGAGAGTAAGGCTGCCTGTCTGTAGAAACTGCAGATTTCTTGGTCATTGGAAAATCAGTTTCTCCTGAGCAATATGGGTTAACACCTAAATGAGAAGGGGGGGGCGACCAGAAAGAAATCATTTGTGTGTTCTCAAATACAAGCTCTACAGGGAACAAAATCACCCCCGCCCACTGCCAGCCACTCCTTAGCCAGCAGCCAGTGTGGGCAGAAACCATTCAGCGCCCAGGATGCAAAATGGGGACACCAGGCCACAGAAGATGCAGCAGCATTTTAACTTTCTCAACCCTGTGTTAGGCGCTCCAGGGTGCCGACAACAGTGTTCTCTCTCACCAGGGTGGGCTCCACTTTGCTCTTGTCCAACTCAGCAAGAAGTGACAGGAGTCTCCTGCATGTCACACGGTGTGCCAGTCTGCTGCAATCCAGGCTGCCAGGGAGTTTTCAATCCCAACCACGGTGAGAGGGGACAGCCCAGAGGTTCCTGGGACAGTGGCCATTGCAGTGACAGGTGACCAAATGGGAGAGAACAGGCAGGAACAGGACAGGATTGGTGTGGAGGGTGGAATCCTCCAACCACCCAAACAGTCCCACCAGTCTGCCTCTTATACACTCAAGCAGGTGCACAACCCCACACACAGGCAGACAACTTGGATACCTTGGAGATCTTGGAAAATGCAAAATATCACTTTTCTCTTCTGTGTGGGAATCCCAGTATGTCTGTGCTATTGTCCTTTTACATATAAATAATTCATAAAAATATTAATGAGATGCTCATGTCCTATTTTTCCTTCAACTTAGTCTTTGAATGGGCATGTTCTCCAGACTTCCTGTGGTCTCCACTGGGAGCAGCCATGTGCTCAGGAGCCACATGTGTTCAGTGCACTGGCAGTTCAGTTGGATTTCAGGGACTCAGGGCAGAGCACAGTTTTCCCAGCATCCCTCAGCTTGAGTGAGTGGATGGGCCTGTGTGGAAAGCCCAACACCACCCCATCCCAAGGAAAAGATGAGATTGGTGGCAGTTCAGAGGAAATGCAGGATGGATTAAGGATTTCCGTTTCCTTTCTGAGGTGTATGTGTGTGGGGGGGTGGGGGGGTAGCTAGCTTATTTATAGCCACATAGCAGTGACTAGCCAGAAAAGGTGATTGTTGAGAAAGAATCCTTGAGGATGTGAGATGCCTAGAGAGGAATACAGGGACAGAGGTACCCTGGGAAAGAGAGGTTTGGGTCCTGCAGGGGTCTGAAGGCAGCTAAGGAAACTTCTGACAGCTGCTCCCAACAGTCACCTCAGAGCAAGTCAGTGGTCCTCTGTAACTTGCAGGGAACAGTTGTTCCAAGATAGACCAGGAGGGAGAGGCTGCCAGGAGTTAGAAAACCAGGCATGAGGAAGGCAGGTTGTGGAGCCTCAGATCAGGGCTGGGAGGTAGGCCCAAGATTGTCTGGCCTAACTGCTCATGCACCATACTTGTGTGGGTGTTTGATAGGAATGGAGAGCCCACCCCCCTCCTAAACCGCTGAATCTGCCTGCATTGGTGAGGTCAGGGCAACCTGTATGTTTGGGAAGCTCTCCTAGTGATGCACACAGCCAGACTATCATAAGTTTTGGGGAGCTCTGTTAGCTCACTCCTTATTCATTAATGAGCAAACAGAAGGTCAAGGGCTCCCAGGGCTTCTGCTGATAGCAATGACCGGCACTGGATGAAGAAGGATGTGAGAAATGAGGAAAAGTGAACAGGCTGCCATTTGGAGTGCGTGACAGAGCAGGTTGATTGCAGAGCCATGAGCAAGTTCAGGGCAAGCTGCTGTGGTCAACCCCAGCTGAACACTGCCCTAAGCTCCAGCTGGTCTTGGTTCTCCTTCACCCTGCCTGAAAATTACCTGTGGATGCATGCCAATCAACTGAGAAATGTATCAAAATTATCATCTCCAGTGGTGGTCGCTGTGTGTGGGGGAGGGTGAAAACCATTTAAGCCTACATCACTGAGTTGATTGCGAATGTGGTTATAAAAAACTCAGGGCAACTCTCAAGTTGTTTTAAAAAGGGAAGCTATACACTGAAATAAATCTATAACTTTAATAATAAGTTTGCAGTTTAAGATAAAGTTGAATTAAGAAATGGAAAAGCTGGGCTGGGGAGATGATTCAGTGGTTGAGAACACGGGCTGTTTTTGCAGAGGATCCAGGTTCGATTCCCAGCACCGACATGGCAGTTAACACCCATCTAAAACCCCAGTTCCAGGGAAACTGACACCCTCTTCTGATTTCTGTGGGCATTGCATGCATGGATGGGTGCACTTACATATATGCACCCAAAACATTCATAAACATAAAGTTTTTAAAAATTTTTTAAGAAGAAATAGAAAAGCTAATGGGAAAAAGTACTGAATATGAGTAATACTATCCTTTTTAATTTATTTTTATTTCATATGTATGTGTTTTACTGCATGTAAGTGTACCTATGCATGCAATGCCCAGGGAGGCCAGAAGAGGGCGTCAGATCCCTTGGAACTGGAGTTACATATGGTTGTTAGCTGCTATGTGGGTGCTGGGAGCTACAAGAGCAGCCAGTGCTCTTAACTGTTGAGCCATCTCTCGAGTCCCTGAATAACACTATTCTAACTCCCTTGCCTCTCATAAAAGGAAAATTTAGAAAATTTATCCTGAAGTAGTTATTAATTAAGTTTAAACTAAGTAATTAGCTAATGTAATCATAAAACCTGAAGTAGGAATGAAGCTGAACAAATCTTACAGACTGCTGCAAAAGTAGCAAACAAAATATAACAAGACAGAAAACAAATGAATAACGTTACTATGGAAGCATAACTGACTGTATTTGAAAACCAACTTGGGGAGGAGAGGGTTTATTTGGCTTACAGCACAGTTAATCATCAAGGGAATCCGGCGCAGGAACTCAGAGCAGGAACCTGGAGCACAGGCCATGGAGGTAAGCTGCTTACTGGCTTGCTCTCCTGGCCTGTGCTCAGCCTGCTTTCTTATACAATACAGGACCACCTGCCCAGGGGTGACACCACTCACAGTAGCCTGGGACCTCCCACATCATTCAACAATCAAGGAAATGACCCACAGACATGGCTACAGACCAATCCAATGTTGGAAACAATTGGGGTTTCCTCTAACCAGGTGTCAAGTTGACAACTAAAGCTATCACACAGCAGGTAAAGGCACTTGCCACCAAGTCTGACAACCCGAGTTTGATCCCTAGGACCCACACAGTGGAAGGAGAGAACTAACTCCCACAAGTTGTCTTCTGACCTCAACATGTATGCTGCGGCATGTGCACCCCCCCAACACACACAATAAATAAATGAATGAAAAATAAATACATAACGTTTTAGAAAGAGGATGAACAAGAGCTGATCAATAGAGTTGCTAGTCTTCAGCTAATCATTAAAAAAACAACCTACATAGATTCTTACTTCACATAAAATGCCAAAAATAGATTACAGATACAATGCAAGTTTGGTGGGGGGGGGGCAAATCATCTGTAAGTTATAAGAAAATATAAATGTATATTTAATATTTTTCCAACATGGAATAAATAGTAAAAGGGAAAAGATGATTAAGTTTGATTGTACAAAAGTTAAAATAATTTCAAGTGTAAAACAAAATAAACTGGAGAAAGTGTTTTTTTCTAAAGAAATATTAACTTTTAACTATTAATTTAATCAAGAGGGTTTATAAGTTAATAAGATAGTGATGACCCCAATAGAAAAATTGTCAAATTCACCAAAAATTTAATAATGAAATAAAGAAATCTTTCAGCTCAACTAAAGAGGCCTGTTTTCTAGCTGTTTCATTAAATCAGTGCCAGTTATGGTTTGAGCAAGAAATCAAAGGCACACATTAGAAAATAGGCCTTATCTGCCTGAAAGACACATGAAGAAATGCTGCCAGCAGGGCTCAGGGAACCACAACCTGGCAAGACCAGCCAGGCACAGCCATTCCCAGTGCTGAGCACCCAACAGGGGACCAGGGAGACTAGCACCCTGGGGCTCTGTCCTCTTGCTAGTCACCTGCTGATGCTCTCAGTGACTGAACTCAGCTTGAACCTATGGGGTTGGGAGGCAAGTGACACTGCCTAAAGGATCAGTTCCCAGGACAGCATAGCTAACTTCATGGACAGGTGGCCTGTACAGTCACCAGGTCCCTTGGTCACGAGAGTCCCAGCTTGGTTTAATGCTGGGTTGTTGCCATTTTGGAAGTCCTAATAATTTTGAAGAGGGCTCCCATGGTCTCAATTTAGACAGAGCCCCACAAAGTATGTAACTGGTTCCAGGTGCAAAGCAAGGCAGAAAAGCAGAAACAGGACACAGAGAGAAGCCCATGCTTTTTTCAAATATTTTCAAAAAATTGTAACCCAGTATGAAGAAGTAGTTGGTCATAGATGTTGCTGAAGGAATATTAGCTGCTAATATTTGGCAGTGTGATCAAAGCCCTTAAACTTTAGCTGCCTTTGGAATCCAAATTCCATTTCTAGGAAATAATGAAGAAAACAAGTTACAGGAGCCTCCAAATGGGACATTATTCATTCACGGATGGTGCATAGTGCTGCAGGATAACAGGAGGCTCAGAGTTTGAGAAACTTGCCCAAAGTCACACAGATAATTGCTTCTGGGGAGCTGGATCCCAGTCCAAGAGCACTGGATTTCAAGTGTGCTGTCTTTTGTTTGTTTTTTTGAGACGAGATCTAATGTAGCCCAGGCTGACCTCAAACTCAATATATAGTTGAGGCTGACTTTGAACTCCTGATCATCCTGCTTCTGCAACTCAAGTGCTGGGACTGCAGGTGTGCACCACAATGCTCAGCTTTCAAATGTTCATTCTGCCTCCTTTGTGATTGTCACTCAGTGTTCACAGGGACTGACTGCTTCTAGGAACCCCCACAGATATCAGAATATGTGGGTGCTCTTTCATTCTTTGTATAACATTACTGACTATTATCATGTAATGTGTGTAAATAAGTCTACTTTCTATGCCAGATTATTTAGGACACAATGACAAGAGAAAAGAATCTGCATGTTTGGTATAGATGTAATTTTTTTCAAATATTTTCCATCTGCAGATGTGGAGGGCCCACTGGATTTCCTTTCAGGAATCAACACAAGCACGAACAATATTTCATGTACAAACTAAGCAATGTAGATTATGTTAATGAAAACTAAAAAAGGGGGGGGCTGGAGAGATGGCTCAGCAGTTAAGAGCACTGACTGTTCTTCCAGAGGACCTGGGTTCGATTCTCAGCACCCACATGGTGGCTAAAAATCTGTAACTCCAGTTCCAGAGGATCTGACATCCTCTTCTCACTTCCATGGACATTGCACGACATAGGTGCACTTACATGCATGCGGGCAATATACTCATACACATAAAACAAATAAAATATTTTTAAAATGAAAACTGAAAATAATGGAAATATCTAGTAAAAGAGAGTATATTAACTGTGATTGCATAGGTTCATACAATGAAATTTTGTGCTTCCACTAAAATATGGTGTTAAGAACAGAATTTCCAATGACAAGAGGTAAATACATGGCTATATATATATGAATTTATGTGTACAAAGGATCTACAGGCATAAAAGAATAGGAGGAAAATAACTGAAAACATTAGCATAGATTATAATATTATGATTTGTTCTGATTTTAATTTCTTCCTGACTTTCTGCATTCCTCACATTATCCTAGTCTATTTAATCAAGAGCCATGAGGCCTTCCAGCCTCAGCCCCTATCATACCACAGACAAAGTGACAGAGGCTGGGGAGGGAGACTTGTTCAGCACAAGGAGCATGCCAGCAGTCAGAGCAAACCCTTGTCCCTTCGTTCAGGTCTTCCCTGCATGGCACCCAGCCAGAAGAACTGACACAGAAGTTGGGCAGATCAGTGTAGGACCCTTCCTAGCTGTGAGAGAAGCACACTCATGAGGAGTGCTCCCAGAGACAAGCAACCTCTATCTTGGTTTAGCCTGACTGGACCAGGGGAGAGCCAGTGCCCCAGTCTCCCTGAAGCACTGACAGTCCCTACTAGGTCCCACTTAAGTTCTGTTTCAGAAGACATTTTGGCAAGGTACTTACTGGTAGAGTTGCTGCGTGTCCTTTGGTGGCAAACTTTAGGAAACAGGAAGCTGCTACTTTGTGCTTCTAGTTTTCCAGGCTTTTCTTTAGAGGAAGCTGTAGAAGATTCCTGTGAAAACAAGTCCCATCTTCTTTACTCAGCAAGTTAGGAGGAACAAGAGTACTTAGCACAGTAGGGCGTTGGCATTGATCATAGAAATATCTATCACTTTGTCTTTCTTCTTCACTAAATAACTGGCACTCTGAGGGAAGAGATATAGGATCATTGTCATTCATTTATTCACTGACATGCATTCACTCATTTAATAAAACATACTGAATGAATAGCTATTACATAAATATTAAACTAATGCAATAAGTACTGAATGCATATGTCAAATAGTAGATGTCAGGTTCTTCATTAAACACGGGGAAATTCAGTGGTGATCAAGACAGATAAGGGCCTTGACCTTGGATAAATGGCATTTTAGTGAAAAAAAGACTAACAGCAAACAAAGAAAGGTAAAAGATAACTACAGAGAATGCAATTGCTCTGATGGAAAGGATTGGAGAGTGTCATTAGTAGAGAGACACAATGAGGTTGCTACATTGTTCTGAGATGAAATCCTAGGCACTCATAAAAAATATCAGTTGAGGGTCTGGAGAGATGGCTTAGTAGTTAAGAGCTCTGACTGCTCTTGTAGAGGATCTGGGTTCAGTTCCTAGCACCTACATGGTAGCTAACAACTGTTCATAACTCCAGTTTCAGGGGACCCGATGTACTGTTCTGACTTCCACAAGCACTGCATGACACAGGTGTACTTACATACACACAGGAAAAATACACACATAAAATTAAAATAAATAAGTAAACAAAAATTTAAAATTATTGAATAAATATTATACAAAGTTTTAAAACATTGAACCATTCAAGTATTCTTATGAGTCCTTTAATTTTATATATTACTGATTTCTATTTGCAAATATTTAATTTAGGACTTTAAAAGTCAATATCTTTAAGTCAAATTTGCTTTTGATTCTTTTTTATTTCTGCTTTGCCATGTTGAATAACTTCACTCTTTTATAGCAATGATTTTATCTTAATATTTTCTAGCACTGGGGAGATGGCTCAGTCTTTAAGTAAAGTGCTTGCCACACAGCAATAAGGACATGAGTTTGGATGCCCTGTAACCAGGTAAAAAGGCAGATACAGTGCCATATGCTTGTAATCTCAGTGCTGAGGAGCCTGAAATGGGTGGATCCCTGGCACTCACTTGCCAGCCAATGTAGCTGAATCAGTAAGCTCCAGGTTCAGCTAGAGGTCCTATCTCAAAAAGCAAGGTGGAAGGCAACTGAGGAGGACACCTGATGTTGACCTCTGGCCTCTGCACATGCACGCAGACAGACAGACAGACAGACAGACACACACACACACACACACACACACACACACCACTAGTTTCCACTGTACTGAGTTCATAGATATTAAACCACATAGTTGGGCTCATTTCCCTAACAGTGTGAAAAAGTATATAACTCTTCCTTGTGTAAGATGAGAATCCGAAACAACTTCTAGTCTCTTTCCTTTCCTCTCTTGGTGTTTTAGAAACAGAGAATGAAAGGGATAGAGGTAATAAAGGCAAACAGATTATTTTACTTCTGTTCCTGTATCTGTTCTATTTTGTAACTTTATTACCTACAAAAACATTAACTTACTACTATAGTCCTCTGTGTGTGTGTGTGTGTGTGTGTGTGTGTTCAGAAAAGTTGTAGATGGAAATTTCCCAAAGCATTTGCATGCCTGTGGCTGTCACATTTGAATGAGTAGCTGAGTATAGGACCTTTGGGTACTGGTTATTGTGTCTGAATGCTATAGACAGTGCAAATGTTGGGGGGCATTTAATGTTGTATTGTGTTGGGGACCCCTTTTCTAACTGACATGACTACCTTTCTTAGAATGCGGTATGGCAGGCCCTGGTTAACTCTATGTGCTGAGTGGGTTCAATCTCCTGTGTCTGGTATGCTCTCAGGGCAGAGAGAGGGTCTGCTGTGCCCTAGCACCTTCACCTCCAGGGTGGCTACTAGTAGCTGGTCAGTACTGAGGGAACTGTACACTTCTTATCCTCTCATTCCTAAGCTTTCCCCAGCTGTATGGTTGATGACAGGCTAGTGAGACTTCCTAGATCCATTTTCACCTGCAATATAGCATGCAGAAAATTCTCATGGCCTCCAAAACAAGTGGAGAAGTAATCGGGTATTTAGTAATCAACCTGGAGCCTAAAATCCACTCACAGTCTTTGAAAAAATAAAACTATATCCAGTTTTGACACAAGCAAATCCTGCAAAAAACCACAGGTGGGTTCCCTTTTATTTCCTGTAAGTTGATGCAGATAACCAGAAGCTGCATCAGCATCAGGGTAGAGTCCAAGGCAGTCATTTTTCTTTTCAGCAACACATGGCATTGCATTAACCTGAACAAAATTTCCTATTTTAACCAGGTTAATTCAGTGAATTTTTTATAAGAAAAGAAAACTGCAATTATATACAGATGGCAGTTTAGTTTAATTGAATTCTAGAGATTCTGATTTCCAAAATTAATCTTAATAGCTACTTCTCTGAACCCATTTGAATATTCAACATAATATTCAAAATACATTTCTTAATTACAATAGTCTGCTGAGGTCATGTCCTGATTATACTTTGAAGACCTCCCTCTGGCTTCATCTCCATTTCTTCATGCACTCCAGTGAGTAATCAAATGCAGCCTCAAGACAGCTGAGGATCTGCTGAGCATAGCAGCTAAACGGTCTGCTTGTTCAGGGTGATCCTTAGTCACAAAGCATGTGTATATACTGACCCTTATCCTCAAATGCATGAGATGCATATTCAGAAATGTATTTTCCAAGCCCTAGATACTTAGTAATATGAGAGCAAATAAATTAACAAGATATGTACAAGACACGGAATACTAAACTTAAAATAATGTTGAAAAGAGTTTTATAACACAAATGTACTTGTGTTCTCTGTAAGTTAAAAAATGTTGATAGTCTGACTACAATAAAGTAAAACATGCCTTTTAAAAGGCTAGAAAATATGCATCAAAATAGTAGCAGTCATTCAGCAAATGTTTGTTAAACACTTACTATATACTTGGGCACTCTTCCTAGTTGTGAGAATAGTCAATAGACAAGAAATATAAAACCCTACTGGTATGAACTAGCAACTTCGCATGGTGAAGTTACGGTCCCTTCCCTTCCCTTCCTTCCCTTCCCTCCCTTCCTTTCTTCCCTTCTCTCCCCTCCTTCCCTTCCCTTCCCTCCCCTTCCCTCCCCCTCCTACCCCTTCAGTGGGTCTATCTAAAAGACTCCCAAATTGCATAACTCTTATCACCACATGGAGGCAGGATCTGGGCACTCTCAGGCAGTGCCCTGCTTTCTCAGCCCCTATGCCAGAGGGAGGCTGGAACAGGCACTCTCTGTCTGCTGAGATCACAGCCACTACACAGATGGAGCAGCTCACCTTATTTCTTGAGACAGGATCTCTCACTGGCCTGGAGCTTGCCAAGTAGGCTACTCCCCTCCCCCAGCAAGCCCCAGGGATCCACCTGACTCTGACTCCCCAGATCTGAGAGTACAAGTTCACATTACCATATCCAGTTCTCTCACATGGGTTCTGGGGATTTGAACTGAGGTCCATATATGTGCAACAAGCATCTTACTGGCAGAGTTATTTTTCCTAGACAGGATCAGGCTGATTTTGAACTCACTATATAGCCAAGGATGATCCTGAACTTCTGATCCTTGTGCCTTGAGTGCTGGGTGATGGATATGGACCACCCAGTTCAACATATTTTATGTTTTTTAGATTATCTACAGTGTGCACTTACTATTTTGCACTGAAGTCCAAACCAAATCGATGATATTATATTTATTTCAGTTGTTACCATAGTAGACTTTTGCTCATTGCTCTGTCTCTTCCTTTTTCTCCTTATAAAGTCTCAGTCCAAATTAGAAATTGCCTGCCCAAGCAAGTCAAGATGGTAGGAGAATCGCAGGAAATACAACCTATCCCCAATCCCATTAGTGTAAAAACATGAATACTCTGTTCAAAGGGGGTGTCTTTTGCTGAGATTTTCAATGTTGGTTTAGGAAGATCTGATCCAAAAGAAATAGTGTCAACTTGATCCTCCACAGGGTGCCCCAGTTCCCACAGTGCAGTCCCTCTTGTCTCATTGCCCTGTTGCAGGAGCAGTGATCCCCCTTGTCCCCCTCCTCTTCCTCCTCCTCCTCCAAGGCACTGAAACCACTTGTGCAAGCACAAGACCATGTACCTGAGCCTTCCTAAGTCATCACTTTCAGTCCTGCATTTTTGAATGCAACTGATGAATGTGTTTAGAGGGCCACTGGACTATTTCCCTTTATAAATTATCACATGTCAGAAGATGATTCACAAGAATCAAACTGCTTCCCGTGGCTTCCAGGGGAGCCTGGCCATTCTCACCATTCTCGGGCAATCATGTCCTGGGTGGGGCAGCTCCACATCAAAGCAGTCTCTGTAGGAGCCCCTAAGCATTTCCATAGACGCCTCCCTCCTCAGCACACAGAACTCCTCAGTTCATGCTTCCAAGGTGGGGCTGCTCTCCACGCTGGGGCTTTGTCCCTGAGGTCAGGGGACTGACCGAGAGACTTCAGAGCACACTTCCCCTTGTGCTCATCAGAGACCTCTGCCCTGGGTGACTTTTCTGTGGGTGGTGTTCCCCATTATTACCTAGGCAGTGGTCTCTGCACCAACCAGTCCCAATGTTCAGAGTGGGGCTTGGAGTCTACTGCCAAGTGTGCTCTTCAAAGTATTTTTGCCAAAGTAAAGATTGGTCATATGTTTTCTAGGGATAAACAGTCAACTCTAAAAAACAGAAAACCCCATTATTCCCATGGAGCAGGGAATGAACCAAGAATGGAGGTGAGGAATTCTGAGGGAATATGTCCTACAAGCAAGACAATTCTGGAGCCTAGACTTCTCCCAAGAGTTATCAGTCTCATTCTGTTGGGAGAGCTCATTTTGCCTATGGACCCCAGGCTGGCATCAGTGACAGAGCTTGATGGTTCTAGAGTTTGCTGGCTGCAATTGTCC